GGATACATTAACATATAAGCTATATGTATATTACATTAGGCTGTGTGTTCTATTGTATACTTCATGGATGGAAAATGTTTAGAGCCACTGCACTACTGTTAAAGGTAATTAACGATACATGGCTCTGCGTAAACACACAAACATTTTGGTTTTTTTTCCTCTTAAGTTACACACTTACACTGGAGCAAGAAGGAAAGTGGAATGTTGCTTTGTAGTTTTGTGAAAAGTTATTTGAAGTTTCTCCTTAAAGTCTTTACTGAAAAATTGGTAAGTGTTTTTAAGACTTTCCAAGAAGTGTGAAGTACTGTGATAAGTAACAAAAAGTAGGCATAAAACCACCTATTCTTTAATAATGGACTTTATTTAATCACATTCAGAACAGCTGCAAATATAGCTTAGAATATGTTAAATGAAAGGGAAAGAAGTAAAGAAGAGAAATATTAGGTAAGCTGCTATTATTACCACCAACAAACAGCTACAAAAATAATGAGACTATTTTGAATGTGCATGTTTCCTAAAAAAATTGTTTGAGACAGGGGAAAAAACACCACAGATTGAAATTTCTTAATGAACTGTTTGAGAAGGCTATTTAAATCATTCCTAAAATGCCCTTCTAAATTCTAAAAGCAAATAAAAGTTACTGTTAAATATTTATCATAGCTGACATATTACTGAGTCATATTTCTGATACATTAACATATAAGCTATATGTATGTAACACTAGGCTGTGTGTTCTATTGTATACTTCATGCACCAAAGACTCTAACTAATTTCTGCATCATGAGAAAAATGACATAACATCACAGTCTGCTTCATGGCATTACTTTTAGGAATAGAATAATACATGAGACCTCCCATATAAAACAAATCTTGCTTCTTTATGTTAAAAATCTGTTGTTCCTGCTGGGCACAGTGGTGCACACCTGTAATCCCAGCGCAGCTTTGGAGACTGAGGCAGGAGGATCTCAAGTTCAAAGCCAACTTTAACAACAGCGAGGTGCTAAGCAACTCAGTAGACCCTGGGCTGGGGATGTGGCTCAGTGGTGTGAGTGCTCCTGACTTCAATCCCTGGTACCCGCCTACCCACCTCAAAAGCCCTCGTAACCATTAGTAGTCTCTTTTTATTCCTTTCTAACCCCAGGCCTCTCAGACTACTAATTTGCTTTCTTTCTGTGGATTTGCCTGTTCTGCACATTTCATGTAAATGGAGTCATACAATCAATGGTCTTTTTCTGACTGGCTTCTTTCACTTGGCATAAAGTTTCAAAGTTATCTGTGTTGTAGAGAGCATAACTAAATCATTCTTATTGTTGCTGAATAATAAATAATCCATTGTGTGGATATAACATATTCTTTTTATCCACTCACTGCACTATGGCATTTCAGTCATTTCTACTCTTGGGTAATTGTTAATATTGTTGCTGTAAATATCATGGACAAGTTTTGTATGGACATGTCTTGATTTTTCTGGCACAGATATTTATGAGTAAAATTGCTAAGTCACAGGGAACTTTATAATTTTAAGAGAAGCTGCCAAACTGGTTTCAAAGAATCTGTACTATTTGTTAGTCCCAACAATATATCAGGGTTACAACTTCTCTACATCCTTGCCAAAACTTATTATTATTATTCCCCTCCCCCAACTTTTTTTTTTTTTTTGTACTAGGGATTTAACCCAGAAGTGCTTTACCACTGAGCTGCAATGGTACAGCAACAGCCCTTTTTTAACAAATTTAGAGGCAGAGTCTCACTAAGTTGCTGAAGCTGGCCTCAAACTTGCAAACCTCCTCTCTCAGCCTCCTGAACCACTAGGATTACACTGAACCCAGCTTCTTTCTGATTACAGTTATCCTAGTGGTTATGAAGTGGTAGCTCACTATGGCACTGATTTAATTCCCCTAATGGCTAATAAAGTCAAGTATCTTTTCATGTGCTTACTGCCATTTATACATTTTCTTTAGAGATATGTCTTCAATTCCTTTTTCAAAACTGAGTTATTTTACCTTTTTACTGTTAAGATAAAATATGTCATTTACTGATAAGAGTTTGTTATGTACTCTGAATACTCATCTCTTATTAGATAAATAAGTTGCAAATGTTTTCTAACCTATGGGTTGTCTTTTCACTTTCTTGATGGTTATCACTTAAGGCATTAAAAGTTTTAATTTTTTTAATATTTATTTTTTAGTTGTAGGTGGCCACACAATACCTTTATTTCATTTTTTTTTTAATGCAGTGCTAAAGATTGAACCCAGTGCCTCTCGAGTGCTAGGCGAGCACTCTACCACTGAGCCACAACCCCAGCCCTAAAGTTTTAAATTTTGATGGAGTCCAACTTATCCTCTTTTTTCTTGTCATTTGTGCTTTTGGTACAGTATCAGAGAAAGCTTTGCCTAACCCCAAGATCAAGAAGACATCTTCAGCTGGAGCTGTGGCTCAGTTGTAGAGTGCTTGCCTAATACATGTGAGGCACCCAGTTCAATCCTCAACACCACACAAAAAATAAATAAGTTAAATAAAAATTTAAAAAAAGAAGATATACTTTTATGCTTTCTTTTAAGAATTTTATATTTTTGCTCTTCCATTTAAGTTTCTGATCCACTTAGAGTAAATTTTTGTGTATGATAAAAGGAAGAGGTTCATTCTCCTCTAGCAGTTTCACTATCATTTGAGGAAAAGGCCTCATTTACCCCATTGAATTATCTTGGCAGCCTTGTCAAAAAAAATCAGTCATAAGTGGGAGACTTTATTTCTGAATTCCCAATTCTATTCCATTCCAATAATTTTTTTTAATTTTATTATTTTTATTTGATGAACCTTTATTTATATGTGGTCCTGAGAATCTAACCCAGTGCCTTACACATGCTAGACAAGCACTCTACCACTGAGCCACAACCTCAGCCCCCATTCCAATAATTTTTTAAAAATATTTTAGTTGTCAATGGACCTTTATTATTTATTTATTTATTTATTTATATGTGGTGCTAAGACTTGAACCTAGTGCCTCACACATGCTAGGCAACAGCTCTACCACTGACCCATAATCCCAGCCTCCATTCCAAAAATTTTTAATAATCTCCTTTTCTATCCTTATTTACAGTTATGAATGCTGATTGTACTCTTTTCTTCAAATGTTTGAGAATTATTGGATGTATGTCTATCCCATTTTCTTGACTATAGATGCTGATTCTATTTGCTGTAGATGAACTCCAGTGGTTGTGGGTAAGAGAGGAGGGATTGTGCCACTGAATTAAATAGCCAAGTTAATCAACTCGAGTCATTTCTTTCCTGGAGCCTAACAGCTGCAGAATTTACCCTTAGTCAATATGCACACCCTATTGGAGTCTGCTACTAAGTAGAAATACAGGTAAAGATTTCAAAAAGCAATGTCTAGATGCTACTGTTCAGTATCCCATTCTAATGTCAGTATGCTGGTGGGAAGATTTCTCCTGTTTCTGAAGAGGAACTTCCCTAGCAGAGTTCTCTTGGACTCTCACCTCTTCCCAGGGAAGAAGGCATGACTTACCTGATTGAGGAGTTTAGAAAAAAAGAACTACATATGTGCGGTTCAGTCTCTTCTTACTTTGGCATATGACTTGCCTATAAAAAAATGCATTTTGTTCTGCATTCTCTATGAAACAGTTTTGGAAGCTAAAACATTTGGAAAATAGCTGTGCATCAAGCCTTTCTTCTCAAAGACCTAAGTTACCTTCCCCATCTGAGATTTTATCAGTAATGAAGCTGCCATCTTGTTCTTTGCTGGCCTGACTCCAATATGAGAGTCTCCAGTTAAGCCCAAATTCCAGAGGGGAGAGTCAAGTTAAATGTACCTTTCAAAATGTTCTGACCTCAGTAATAGTCCTATCTTTCATGAGTTTATGGCCACATACTAATCAAGTTTTGCCTCTGTGGTTTGCTCTCTGTTGAATTTTTTAACAAATATATGACCCACTGGTGATACTTATTCTTCTTTTGCAATATTGAAAATGACTTTATTATTCTTTTCCCATTTTCTTTTCATGAGGTTTTTGATAGGAGATGAAATAGATACATATATCAGTCACTCATGTTACATCTTCAACAAGCAACTAAAATAGTGATAACTAGAACTAAAACATCTGTAACTACTGACTCACACTCTTTCTAGTACTCCACACTACCTTATAAGATCTTCACATTAGATATATTAAAATCTTGTTAGAGCGGTGATACAAGCATTAACAGAGAAATAAATATCCAGCGATGTACTATAAAGTAACTAATGCACAGAAATTACTATAAGCATTATAAGATTTCTCGTCAGATTATAAAGAAAGCATCATTGAAAATGAAAGCTTGAAATAACATTGGAATGATGGATTAATTTACATAGGGGATGAGTAATTCTAATGAAGAAGAACATGGAGATGTAAAATTGTAAGGCAAGTCCCATTACAAGCACAGCACCAGGTTAGGGGAGTATACAGAAAAGAACAGGGGAAAACAGAGATAAGAAAGAGTTTAAAAACAAAACAGAACAAGGAATATCAAGAGTCATATAAGATCATGAAAGCCTCTCACACTTTCATTCAAAACACATTTGTAGAAAAGGTATTAAACCAACTATGAAGGAGTTATATACACTATTTTATTATAATGTACTGAAAGTGTCCCTCAATCATCTACTACTACATATATACATATATTCAAAATAAATAATGAGCGAAAAGAAACAATCAGCATATAAATAATTTAACTCCAAAATCTGAGGTGATCATTTGAATTATTTTTCTTTTTGAGTGTGTTTGTGTGTGTGGTACTGGCAAATAAACCCAGGGCATTCTAGCACTAAGCTACATCCCCAGCCCCTTTTTATTTTTTATATTGAGACAAGGTGGTGCTATGTTGCTGAGGCTGGCTTCAAACTTGCAATCCTGCTTCGGCCTCCCAACTTGCTGGGATTATAGGCATGTGCCATTATACACAGCTAAAATTATTTTAAATTATTTTTTCATATATACCTCTTATATGAAAAGAGCCATCATCATTTCTCTCCACCACAAGATGATCAATATGCACAGTTACTGGAGTTGGTTCAAGAGAGACTGTGCAGCTCCGAGGACTATCATCCTACAGGAAAGAGACATAATACTGGCATGTTCTAGTTAAAGTAAATAATGAAATTAAAATAATAATTTAATATAAACATTACTTTAGTCTACTAAATTTTAATGAGTTAGAAATATATCTATACATGCTTTGATAAAAATAAGAAAACTACCAGCTCTACTATGCCATTCTCTAATTTCTAAGAATCTCAATATCATTCACCATAAAGACCAAAAGATTCATTTTCTTAAATAGAGTATGTATTATATATATAAGGCAAAATCTTAGACATGAGTCAAAGTCCAGGTAGGCAATGTGAACATGTGTAACTTGAAAATATAAAATTATCTTTTAACATACTTTTAAATTTATTTTTGTGTTAGAAACTTCTATCTTCATTGGCATGACAGTTGCAACAGTTTCGTCTTCCAAAAAATGTTGAATATTCATAAGAGAAGATGTAAAAAACTCAGTACTAAAGTTTTCTATATGGCATTGCAGAAATCCATTTTTTTCTGCAAGCTGAGAATGTATTACAGCACCAGGCCCACTTTCAAACCTCAGAGAAATCTCAGGAGAGGATTTGGAATGAACTGTAGCTTTCTGAACAGAACCTAAGGAAAATGAACATAAAAAAAATCATCACTTTGTGGTGCTATTCAAAAATACCACTATTATTTGTCATTAAGAGGTTATAATCCCTTTGTATATTAAAGCAATCCTAGATGAAATAGTTTAACATTGTACTCCTAATTTAAGTAATACACCATGCATACCATAATTCCAATTTTTCTAGGCAACCTTTCTACTACAAAAATATTGACTTTTCTGGGACTGGGGTTGTGGCTCAGCGGTAGAGCGCTCACCTAGCATGTGCAAGGCCCTGGGTTTGATTCTCAGCACCACATAAAAATAAATTAAATAAAAGTACTCTGTACAACTGAAAAATAAATTTTTAAAATGTTGACTTTTCTGAATTTCTGTTTTTTTGGAAATAAGAAAAAACATATCATAATATAACTGATATGACATATACCTCAGATACTTAGAGTGTATTTGTATATCTACCTATGCACTTGTAACAACATAATGACAACTGTGATGAAGAAATAATCATGACATTTAAAGTGACTCAAACCATCTCTCAAGAAGTAGCAAAAGCCTGAGGTTTTATACCTTTTCATTAAACTGGGTCCTTCAATAATAGAAAAGTAAATAGAGAAAACCTCATAAAACTAAAACTGAAATTAAAGAATACACACACATACATACAGAGAAATATAAATACATAATTTCACATACTTTACAGAGATATAAATACTCAAGTTCAAAAGTATTTTAAATTTTAATAAAGCTCTTACAGAATATCTAATTTAAAAAAAAAAAACTATTAATGGAATCCCTGAAGTAATTTACTTGCAAACTGAAAATCATAGTAACATTTTTCTTATTTTATTCTATGCTACTCAGTTCTAAAATAAATAGAAGGCAATATAAATATGGCATATCAGATAAAGGAGACAAGAAAGTGGTAGAAAAGGTGAAGATAGGTGATAAGGTTAACAACTCAAAATATATTATTTATATTTGTGTGCTAAATGTGTGTGAAAAATGAACTTATTAGAAACAAAGAGAAAAATATGACCAATTTCATAATTTAAAAAACTCATGAGCTAAAAACAAACCAGCTGTTCTGGAAAGGCAAAGTCATTTTTGTTTTTGAGGTATGAAATTTAATTATCCCACGGGTCATCTTAAGAAGACTCAACTAATTAAATCTATGATGGAAAGACTTTATTTTCCCTCAGCATGAATATGAACAGTCTTATAGAGGACAAATGTATACATTTTTGTAAGGGAGTGGTGGCATGAACTTAAAGATATGTATATTTATGTACTAGAAAAAAGAAAAGGAAAAAACAAAGGGTTTTATGGCAGTGATTTATGGATAATTGGCACATGTTGCAGCATTCTCTGGATGTGAGGTGGATAGCACACTTGTCTGATATTATACAAAACTGTATTTTTTCAATGTATTATATCAGATGCAGAATTCTGCACATATGGCAAATATAACAGTAAATTTTTTCATAAGTGCAATTTTCCTTCTTTTCAACTATATGAAATGAAGAACTGTTGATGAGCCATATATAATATATAAAAAAAGTTTAAATCATTAGATATTTGGTATGAAAAATAACTTTAAAAAAAAAATCTTACCAACTGGACGATTACAAAGGTAATGCCGAAGACTGACATTGCCTAACTGATCTGTTGTCACTTGATTCACTTGAAGACAAATTTCTGTATCTTCTCCTCGGATGTCAATTTCTCCATTAATTCCAGTAATTTTAAACACCACAACTGACATCTATTAATGATTGCATAAATAACATTAGCATATAAACTAATTCAAAATAAAACTTAAGAAATAAAGAAAATAAGCATTAACCTCTAAAGATACAATTATGACTTATCAAACCAAAAATATATTTATGACCTACCACAGTTGTTACATTATACTAGTTTAGCATCCCTAATTAAAAAGATCAGAAATCCAAAACATTTTGGATGACATAAGTAGAAAATTCCACACGATGAAACTTTTGTTTCATGCACAATATTATAAAAAATACTGTAAAAAATTAACTTCAGCCTATGTGTATAAGACATATATGAAACAAACGAATTTCGTGTTTATACTCAGGTCTCATCACCAAGATATCTCATTTTATATATATATATGCAAATATTCCAAAATCCTCTTAAATAAGAATACTTAACAGGTACTGAGAAACTTCAGCTTCTTTTCAGTCAAAAGAAAACACTTCAATGGAAAAGATTAATTATGCTACATTTCTATGTAAAATAATTTTCACTAAAAAAAGCAGGGTGGAATATATGTTTTAAGTCTTTCATAAAATCTTTCAATGGGTCAGAAGGGTTTAAAACAAACAAGTAACATTTCATTTTTGGAAAGCCCCTTATTTTAAAGACTACTTTCCTTTCATCAAACTTTCTGAAGTATATTTTAAAAGAGGAAATATACAGGTCAAAAAATAAAAGACAGAAATACTTTGCCTTCCTCAATAAGAAACAAATTTAGAAAAGTAAAACACAGGAAAAAAAGTTAATTAAGCCAGAAAGAAACATTTTTAAAGGTAGAAGGAACAAAGTAAATCTACCACCAAAGAATTCTTTTATATATTAATGTCTTAAAATGTGCACATCTCAAATATAAAATAAAATTGGGAGCATTTCTTTTCATAGAATCCCTCTGAAATTATTACCAGGTCATCATGATTTTCTTGAGCAACATCTGAATTTGTACTAATGGCATCTGGAGAAATTTCACCATAATTCTGCACAGTTGCACTGGTATTCAGACTCTCTGCTGGGCTCTGGTAATTTGTAGTTGAGTTCCTTTTAATTTCTGAAAAGTTAAAAATAATAATAAGTTAAAATCAATTTTACATATGAATCAACAATGTTGCTTTTATCTAACCAACTCCTTCTCAAGCATAGCCTTGTTTGAAAAATAAGCAAAGAAAATTAGATTATAATTACCTAGCAAATAATAATAATTTCCATAATAAAATGTTAAAGATATTAAAGTCTTAAATTTAGTATGAAAAAAAAAAAAGAGTCTTTCACTACTGAACACAAGCGTGTGTTTTTCCCACTTTAGGTACAGTGCCGGTTCCTGGTCAGCTTCATCTGTGTCCCCCTATTTATCCACAGTAAATAGTTCCAGAAATATCATAATTATTGATGTGATGATTTTCCACCCTTATCTAGCTGCCTAAATTTCCCAGTGAGCTTTTTTGGGTTTTGCTATCTGCATTTTAAAAACCTTTTTTTAATACTGATCAAAGAACCTGGAGTGCTCTATCAATGAGCTCTATCCCTAGTTCTTTTTATTTTGAGACAGGATCTTGCTAAATTGCCCAGATTGGCCTTGATCTTGTGATCCTGCTTCTGCCTGAGTTGCTTGGATTACAAGCATAAGTCACCATACCAGCTTTATCTATAGTAAAATTCTAAAAAAATTATATGTACATCACAGAGTAATAGTTGAAAAGACCATAAAATAAATTATTACAAAAAATAGATTAGAAAACCCAGAGACAAATAAAACAAAAGCCTCAATTTATTATTATATTCACCATTACTATATAACTGGCTTTTAACCTAGGTTATCTATTAGATGAATGAACCACATAAAATGAATGTAAATACAATTGAGATATGAGGAGCCAACATAAACATTTCAAAGGGCCTTCCTCACAGTCAGAGGTTTAAGAAGCTTCTTTATATATATGTATATATCTTTATTTTATTTTACTTTATTTTTTAATGTGGTACTGAGAATCAAAGCCTCACATGCTAGGTAAGTGCTCTACCACTGAGCCACAACCCCGGCCTGGTAAGAAGCATCTTTGATTATGTAGTTTTGCTGAAGTATATAGGAAAAAAAAGAGTTTTCCAAGCATAGGTACAAGATCCCAAGGTGGGGGTCTTATAAGAAACTCAGTCAAAGGCTGCAGTATTCTGCAGTATTCTACAATATAGCTGAAGTGTAGTAAGCACATGTAAAAACACAAGAACCAGGGATCAAATCACACGGAACATTTAAGATTGAGGATTTTAAGGTTAACAGCCTTAGAGAAATGTAAAATGATCAAGATTAAACTGGAAAATAACACAATGTGCATTCTGCCCATGGAATGAAGAATGTGCTACAAATGGTCATGAGCAGATGTAAGAAGACAAATTAGGAGTTAAGACTGTGGTAGGCTGGAGTCCAGCTATGTGTTTATAAGTATTTATATACATACTCATAAACATGTATACACATAAATATATAGGCATGTTTGTTAACCTATGTGTATATGTGTATGACACCCACATATGTATATAAAAACTCAAAGGTAAAGGTCTGGAACTATATATATCAAAAGTTAATAGTAGTTACATCTGGAGTGAAGGAATGATATCAAGGATGTATTCAGGGTGATGTTAAACTGGAATCTTCAATTTTTACTGTAGATATTTCCATATTATCTGATTTTTTCCTCATCTATAAAAGATTATTCATACATTTCCTATAAAATTTTTTTAAAAACCCACAGGAGTCTCCTCTTAGTGAATATCAATTCCTCTTAACATAAACAGAATAATTAAGACTTCAAGAGAACTAAGAATGTATATTATTTAAATGTTACACACAAAAATCAATATTTTTCAAGATCCCAAAAATATTATACTGCTGGAATCTGAGATAGGAACTAAAAAAGTAAGAAAAATGTATGAATAATGACATTAATGATAGCATCTTCTTTTTAGAGAGAGAGAAATTTTTTTTTAATATTTATTTTTCAGTTTTTGGTGGACACAACATCTTTATTTATTTTATTTTTTTTTATTTTTATGTAGTGCTGAAGATCAAACCCAGTACCCCCCTGCGCATGCCAGGCGAGCGTGTTACCGCTTGAGCCACATCCCCAGTCCATGATAGCATCTTCTTAACTGTGAAAAATTATAAACAATCTAAATATCCAACATTAGGGAAATGCCTAAAAGTTAATAGTACGTTTCTATTACAATTTTATATATGTTAAAAAAATATTTTCAAAGTAGTTTACGTAATATTAGGAAATACAAGTAATAAAAATAGGTTATATAATCATATGTAATAAGTTGACAAAAACATATATATATATACACACACATATATTTATATAGGTACACGCGTTAATTCACAGAATAGACTATTTCCAGAATATGAGTCTTTTGGGTAATTTTACAAATACAGTTGTATTTTCCAAGTTTAACACTGAATGGTAGTCATTTTTTTAATTATTAGAAAAAAAACACTATGCACTATGTTTTTGAGAATAAGTGGGGATATTTGCCATAGGAACATTTGTTTCTTAAGAATATTTGTATTAAATTACTGAAATCCTGTTAAGGAAGGATTTTACACTATCAAGGGAAGAGGGCAACTACAGATGTCTGTAAATCTATGACAGTTTTGTATGACCCACATGAGTATCTCATCAACCTTTGTGCAGAACAGGAGGTTGCTATGAATTACCTATAGTAGGGTTAGATTAGGGATTTTTGTTTACACATGGTGATCATTTCCCAAGTCTGGATATGATTAAAAGTTTGGGCTCTTGAGTCAGATTAGATGATGAATCTGCCTCTATTACTTCCTGGCTATCTAATTTTGAACTAGATACCTAATTACTGTAAACTTCAATACATTAATCCCTTATATGGTTGTTTTGAGGATTAAATAGAACACTGTATTTTAAAGTAGTTGACAGAGTAATTAGGATGTTTAATAAGTGTTTGATATTGCTACTAAATGATATCTATCATATAAGGCAGGCTAACTATGATCTCTCATGAAGTGATAGTGAACAGGGATCTAGCTGACAGCTTTTTAATTCTGAGTTTTATGTAAAGGATACATATGGTTAAGAAGACTTATTCTAGGGCTGGGGTTGTGGCTCAGTGGTAAAGCGCTTGCCTAGAATGTGTGAGGCACTGGGTTCAATTCTCAGCATCACATATATATAAATAAAGGTCCATCGATAACTAATAAAAATATTTTTTAAAAAATACTTATTCTGGTCAGATAGAACTCAAGCTTAAAAAGAGTCTGTGTTCAAATACTAACTCTACCCCTTATTATGTGACCTTGGATAAGATGTTTAGCCTCCTAAGAATTTGTTTTCTTCACCTTTAAAATGGACATAATAATAGGCCCTGTCTCAAATTTATTTGAAGATTAAATACAGTATGTACAATGCTTAAAATGGCAAATGGTATAGTAAGCACCTACTCAATATTAGCTTAGAACAAGCAAAAAGTGACAATCCCAGCTCTACCTATGTGACTATAGGCAAATGACTTTACATCTGGGATCCTCAGTTTCCATAACTGTAAAATGAGGGTGAAAATAAATGGTTATACCTCACACAGGCTGGAGAAAATTTAGTATAAAGGCTCCAGTATCAGAATACTTGGATTTAAACAACTTACTTGGCTGTGTTACCTTGGGTTTGTCTCTTAACCTGTCTGAAGATAACAGCACATTATTGATTGTTCTGAGAGATAAATGTATTACCATAAATAGAAAGCATACAGAATAGTGTCAAAACAGACAAAATGTGTTAAATAAATGTTAGCTACTATTATTATAAGGATACAGTTCAAATTAAATGAAATAAACTATTTAAATGCCTGCTGTGATCTGAATATGTCTTTTCCAAAACTCATGTATTGTCAAGGGCCTAGGGATCCTGAGGGCCCCTCCCTCGGGGGATGGGATTAAGGGCTTTTTAAAAGAGGTTCACTTAGGGTCTTGTGCCTTTTGCCTTCTATCACATGAGATCTTGACATTCCTCCTCCTAAGGATATAACCCTCACCAGATAACCAAATCCTCCAGGGCCTTGGTCTTAAACTTTCCAGTCTGCAGAACTACAAAAAAATAAATCTCTGTTCTTTTACAAATTACCCAGCCTGTGGTAGTTTGTGATAGCAGCACAAAACTGAGATAGTATCTAGTAATACTTATTATGCTATTACCTATATATTACTGTATTATTAATTATCTAAGCTGTTTTCAGCTGCACCAAGGGGCTTATTTCCCTTCAAATAGAAAATAATTTCAATTGGCCTCTGTTTTCCCATGTTTCTGTGTCTGTGGCAACAATTCTCTGACTATGGTCCACAATTTTACTTTTATTCACAAAGACACCAATGCCTGACGGGACTACATTTCTTACTTCCTAAGTCACTTATAGTGGCCTTTACTGGGTGCTGCATACCTCTGAATGAAATGGGGAATCATATATTTCTGTCAAGCATATTAGGCCCACTTAACCAAATTTCAAGATATAGGAGTCTGTGAAATAAAGGTTGGTAGCCTTCATATTGGCTACTTTATGATCTAAATGATTGCATGCAAATGATTGCTAGGTGTCAGCTATAGAGAGAAAGAAATATCTGGTTAAAAGAAAAATGGAAAGGCTGGGGTTGTAGCTCAATGGTATAGTGCTTGTTTTAGAATGTTTGAGGTACTGGGTTCAATCCTTAGCACCACATAACAATAAATTAATAAAACAAAGGTATTGCGTCCATTTAGAACTAAAAAAAAAAAAAAGAAGAAGAAATGGAATAACCAATAGAAATACATAACCAATAGAAAAACATAACATAGATATAACCAATAGAAATATGTCTGTATAAATAAAATGACTCTTTTGGGGAGGATATAATTAATAGTTATTGCATGTAAATGAAAATATTTGACTATAATTTTGATTCTAAGATTTGTTTATACATAAGAACTGTTAAAATGTGTTGTTTTACCTTTTTCCAAAAATAAATGACTGTCACTTCCATCACTTTCTAACAACTGTTCTTCCAAAATCATGCTATCAAGTGAAATGGTGTCCAGTGAGATTTGTGAGGAACTTCTTTTCATGTTCTTATAAGAAACACAGAGTGGAGCCAGGTTGGATGGCAAACGTTCCTTAGGCTTTCCACTGTTATTAATAGAAAATTAGTATACATGATAGTTACATTACTTTATAAATATATGAAAACCACTTGTAAGTCACAAATAAAACCAATGCACTTCATGTATATAATAGAGAAAAATAAAAGTATCACACTTAGAGTGAAGAATTCTACCTTAAAAATACTTCTAACAAAATTAAAATATATGCATAGTATCCACAAGTTTTTAAATTATATTTAAATGTGTAATAAGCTCAAAGGGTTCTCATCTTTAGAAAAATCTATTTTCTGATAACTAACAATATTACATTTTGTCAAGAGATTTTCTGCCCCAAAACAAAATATACACACATACACATACACTCAGCAAAACAAAAATCTCCCAAAATTCCAACATTGTTACCTTAAAGATGACTGTGATTTAAGGGTCTTAACTGTGGGTGCCTCTTCTTTTTCCAGGTTCTCAGAGAATGAAACTGCTTCTGAAAGCAAGTCTTCAGCTTTAAAGACTGACTCTATGGTATCATATCCTTTAGTAGTTAAGCTATTTGAAAGAACAGTTTGATTACCATCGTTATCAAATGACAGCATATTTGAGTCTTCTCTGGAGTTTAAGACACTACTTGAACTTACACAAGATAAATCTTTTCTTTCAATTATTTCTGATTCAATTTCTCCTGAACTCTTATGAACAAGTCCACTGCTTTCATCTTCACTTATTTTGCCTAAATGTTTATCTGATAAATAGTCCAGAAAAGAAGTACCTTTTTGTAGATTTGTATCACTAGCTGATTTAAAAAGCAAAGGATCCTTTAAAGGAACATGGCTAAGGTCGACACTCATAGATCTGTTATCTGACATATGATTAACAGTTACTCTTCTATTTTGATTTATACCACTACTAACTTGTTTTCTTTTTGAAGACAAAAATTCTCCATTTTCTGCAGGCAAATAATCTGGAACAATTGGGCTCACACTTTCAGAAATAGGAGACTTCATAGTATTTGCATGATCCACTGGATGTAGTAAAAGAGCCAATTCTGCACTTCTAAGTAAAATTCCAATGCAAATGGATGTCTGACTAGCAGGACTGCCAGTCACAGCTTCTACATCTTTCCTTAAATTATCTGAAAGCAGAATAAGTGAATCATGTAGGAAAAGCAGGAGTAGATACTGGTAGTGATTGATCTGCATGCTGACATGTTTGTGAATGTGAACCAGGACATGAATATCTGCATCCAATGATGAAGAAGAACATCTTAAAAATGTATCTGATGAAGGAGGTTTCTGACTACCATTTGTCAAGGGCTCAGACTCTGTACTATAATACTCCTTCAAGAGCTTTTTCCGCTTCAGTCGGCCAGCCAGATCACTAGATTCACTTTGTGATGTATTTAGAGATACTTGATTACAAGCTTGCAGCTCTTTTTGTGACTCTGCATATTTTGTTGGTTGACAAATCCAGATGGATAAAGGGAAAGAGTCTACAAAACTTATTGGTCGTCCTTTTCCACTTTTCATTCCTTCATAATCTACCCAAAATTGAGAAAAGTAAACAGCCCAAACATCCATGGCAGCGGAAGTTTTAAGAGTGTATTTATTCAATTTGGGGATAATATTTCCTTTATAGACTTCATGCATCTTAGTATCCTGTTCATGAGCGTGTCTCTGAAAAATTGGATGTAGAAGACTAAAACTGTCACAAGATTTGGGGAAGCTAGTATATGTTTTACTAAAAAAATCACAATCTTTGAAGTCTTGAAACAAAGCTTCTAGATCAGAATGTCGACAGTTTGGACAGTGCCTTGTATTTGTGGCGATCATTTCAGAACTCTGAATAGAAACTGCATGTGGTTGATCTTGATGACATTCAGATTTCATTTCAGAAGGAATGACAAACTAGAAGGGAAAAAAAGTAATCTAGTTCAATTTACAAACCCATATATTTTGAAAATAAAATAATCAAGAACACAACTTGGACTACAAATTCTTTTTCTGGACATTTTCCCACCCCAAAAAAAGGTCTTTCCTATCTAGATGTTAAACACTAATTCGCTACCTTTCAGGTATCTTTATAAAAGGTATTTATGTGATTGGCCACTGAGAAGAGACCAACATTCTTTAAAAAGAAAAAAACTGTTGTGGGGTTGTGGCTCAGAGGTAGAGCACTTGGCTAGCGCGTTGTGAGGCACTGGCTTTGATCCTCAGTACCACATACAAATAATTAATAAATAAATAGAGAGATAGATAAATAAATAGAACAAAGATGTTGTGTCGAACTATAACCAAAACATAAATTAAAAAAATAAAAGAAAACGTGAGTTAATAATGTATATAGAACATATATTTCACACAAAATAAACCACAAAAATGAAAAAAATACAATGGAATTAAATCATTATTACAAAATGTTTACATATCCTGAGTATACAGAAAAAGTACCAAATGTGAAAAGGGTATATTTTTCTACTAAGATACTTCAAATACAGATGTTTTGGAAGAGGGCTGAAGAATGAATGAAATGACTATATAGATATCTTTAGAATCAATTTTTTGAAAGAAAACTATTAAGAAAATAAACTTAAGAGGACAGGTTAAACTATTTATTAAAATAATTCTCAAGGGTTAACTAAATCCAGTCTTCAAAATATACCTATCAGAGAGGTAAAAGTGACTTGTTTCAGTACTACTCATACTCATAAAATGTAAAGACATTATATAATTCCGACTAAAAAGTAAAAAATAAAAACCGGGCACAGTGGCACATTCCTGTAATCCTAGCGGCTGAGGAGGCTGAGGCAGGAGGATCACGAGTTCAAAGTCAGCCTCAGCAAAAGTTGCAAAGCAACTCAGTGAGACCCTGTCTCTAAATAAAATACAAAATAGGGCTGGGGATGTGACTCAGTGGCTGAGTGCCCAAGTTCAATCCCCAGTACCCCCCCCAAAAATTAATAATAATTTAAAGGTCATAAAACATACCCTTATTGGTTAAATTACATAAGATCTTTGAGACAATCTTTTCCACAGTGCAATTTTTAAGTATTATATAATTTTAAAGAGCAGAGATTAAAGGTATATAAATTTAGTTTATTAGCAACAGACCTAGAAACTGATAATTTCATCATGTATAAGTCCATTTATTAAACTATACTAGCTGGGATATTTTTTTCTCTCTTTCCTTTAAAACATAAATATTTATACAATTCAGATTTCCAGCTACTTGGCTATTTAAAAATGTTATTTCTTGGCTATCTTGGGAAATTAATAACAAAATAAGTGTGAAAAATAAAAACTCATAATTTAAAAGCTTCATTATATAATTTATATTTCTTAGAAAAAAATTTTATCAGCTCTGAGGTGATAAAAAGTGACTAATTTAAATCTTACTTCTATAACTCACTTTCAAATGGATGGAAATTAGAGAAAGATTTTTTAAATTCCTGAAAAATACACTAACTTGGGGGAAAAAAAAGCAGTCCCTTAAAACTTCTATGACTAAGAATCAAAATTAAATCTGAAATTTCATAATGTTTACATCTGTACATACATCTTATACCCTGGCAATTATAAAGCTGCCAAATTTTCTTTCATAAAAATGGTTTTGTTCTTACAGTCACTTATTTATATAATACCTTTAGCATTAAGCCATCAACTCGAATATCAACATGTTCATCAGATTTTGAATTGTCATTCAACTTGTAAACTGCCATGAATTGATTAAGACTCTGTTTTAAATCCAACAAAAACTGATTTAACCATAGAATGCTTCTTTCATCCACAGTAAACTGTAATGCATTCAGCTGGCTATAAAGGTTGGGAGATGGAACTGCAAAAAAGAAATAAATAATAATATCTTAGATCATATTAATAAGCAGACAGGTTTAAACGTTCCTTAATAAAAGAAAAGAAATTTTAACACACTTTATTTGCTCTTAAAATAAGGCAAGGCATAAAGGAGCATGCCTGTAATACTAGCAGCTGGGGAGGCTAAGGCAGGAAGATCACAAGTCCAAAGCCAGCCTCAGCAACATAGTGAGGCCCTAAGAAACATAGGAAGATTCTGTCTCAAAATAAAAAATAAAAATGATGGGAATGTAGCTCAATGGTTACACAACCCTGGGTTCAATCCCTGATACCAAAAAAGAAAAAGAAATTGAGATGTTATATATAAAATTAGGGGAATATGTAAAGGAAATCAAACACAGACAAAAACATGTCTATATGCTTTACTAACTGAAAAAAATACATAACTTAATCTAAAACATTTAAATACCAATACTAACTGACTGAACCACTAGAGCATCCTAAAATTAAAAGTACAAATAGGAAATGCTATTTAGATTTCTTTCTCTAAAGTTATATTTACAAAGAAGCAAACTTCTAAAAATATTACCATTTTGATGTAGAATCACATTAAAGCTGTGGTCTTCAATGACATTTCTAGGAGGACTTTACTGTCTGACTCTTAATCCGAACCCTTTCAATCTAATGAAAAATTTCCCATGAAAGTGGCAAACTAGGCAGAACTCCTTGAGAATTGGAAACATGCATGGTTTTATTGCCCATTTTAATCAAGTTTTAGAATAAATTCTTGAGGTTAAGTAAAACTCAGGTTATCTTTTGAGTATTTAAATAAATACAGTCTTTTTCATAGATCTCCCAAAATAAACTAACATGTACAATTAAAAGATATATCACTTTCTAAAATCTACATCTATTTCTATCATCAAAGCTATTCATTTAGTGTTTCAAAACAGCATGGTGAAGATTGATTGATTGATTGATTAGATATTGATGGACCTTTTTTATTTTATTCACTTATTTATATGTGGTACTGAGAATCAAACCAGTGCTTCACACATGCTAGGCAAGCGCTCCACCACTGAGCCACAACCCCAGCTAGTGAAGATCTTTTATTCTAAAAATTCTAATATATTTGCTTCTACCAAAGCTGAAAGTATGCATATCTAAAACTTTCAGATCAAATTTATTTAAGGAAAATAAATCCACAGTGTGGGAAACCTGAAGACAAAGAATATTGTAACAATGTCTTACATATGACTATTTTGCTTACATTATTCATTCTCTTTCCTTTAGCAAAGATTCAATGAATGTCAACTACTTTCTGTGCATTACCCTAAATAGGATACAAAAATAATATAGCATGATTTGTTTCCTTCAAAAAACCACTCATGGGCTGGAGTTGTAGCTCAGTGGTATAGTGCTTGCCTCGCACCCATGAGGCCCTGGGTTTAATCCTTAGTACCACATAAAAATAAATAAATAAATAAAAATAAAGATATTGTGTCATCTACAACTAATAAAAAATAATTTTAAAAAAGCACTCATACATACATGAGACAGATATGAGACCCAAAAAAGATATAATTCAAGTCTTTCAAAGATGTACAATGTGATATGGAAATGCTTGTCTTTGGGAGCAGAGAAAGGAAGTAGGGTACTGAAGAGATTGTATCACGTTCTGGAAGGGAAGAAAGGATAGGAAATATCAATGTTCAGATTGTGTGATTGATGATAGTAGCCAAAGAGAATACTAGAGAACTCATACCCAAGGCTATAACAAAGAAACAATGCACAAGGCTGAGGAAGGAACCCACTACACTGAACAGCAGGAAGGGGGGGGGGTCTTTATAAAACAGATCCCTTTGTAGATGAAAAGAAATCTTTTTGGATTGGGGGAATCTTCTGCAGTGCTAGAGATCAAATGCAGGGTCTTACACATGCTAGGCAAGGGTTTTACCACTGAGTACATCCCTAGCCGTAGAGATGCGTAAAATGAGTTTGTAGAAACCTTGAATATGCCCATGTTATTAAGGGAAAAGGGCAGGGTATAAATTAAATATGTAAAAGAAACACATACATTAAAAAGAGAATGAACACTGTACTTAATAGGTTGAATTATAGTTCCCCCTCCCAAATTCCTATGTTGAAGTTCCTGACCCCCAGTACCTGAGAATTAGGGCAAAATGAGTTCATATGGGTAGACCCTAGTCCAACATGACTGATGTCCTTGTAAGAGAAGATATCAGGACAGACACACATTGTGGGAAGTCCATGTGAAGACAGATATCTACAAGCCAAGAAGAGAAGCCTCAGAAAAAAATTACCCTTGATCTCTCTGACTTCTATCATCTAGAACTGTGAGAAATTGTTGTTTAAGCCACATACTCTATGGTATTTATTACACAAAGATATGAATATATTTAGGTTTTAGCAGAAGTCTCTAATTATAGGCTTATTGACATCTTTTTATTTTTGACATTTTCCTTTTTAAATGTAATGAGTCTATTCTACTTTCACAATGGTAAAAAATAATATTCTTTTTAAAAAGTTAGATTGCTTAATACTGTTTAAAATAGAGATCAAGTAACTTGAGAATTGCAAACTGACTCCCACATACAGGTGTTCAATATTTATTTTCGTCTATGTTTGAAAATTTCCACATTAAATTTAAAAAGTTAAACATAACCTAGAAATTTTACTACCAAGTATGTAGGGGCTAGGATTTAAAATGCTAGAAAAGAATTTTGTAATTGTTTAGTTTTAGAAAACAATGTACAAATTAGAGAATGGAATTATAATTCCTTTGGTACAACCTAACAAAGTAAGTATTTTACTTTTTTTTTTTTCCCTTGGGTAGTGTTACAGGGATTGAAGCCAGGGGTACTTTATCATTGAGGTATATCCCTAGTTCTTTTCAAATTTTTTTTGAGACAGGGCCTTGAACTTGTGATTCTCTTGCCGATGCCTCCTAAGCTGCTAGGATTATAGGCATGTGCCACTGTACCTGGCTTGGAGTTACACCTTGAAAGAAAAGTCAAAAACTGTTTTTCTCTGATAACACAACTTATTTAATCTTTTTTCAACATATTTTCTCTATTACTTTCTTAGTTGAAAATAATGGAAAAAGTACAACATAAACAAAGGTAAACTTTCAGTTTGAAGGACTCAAGAGGATGAGACAACAGCATAGAATTTTAATATTCAAAGAACACAAAAGTGTAATCATTTTAACTTTAGGAAGTCAAGCTAACTTACAACCAAAATTCAATAATTCAAGGTTTCTAATAAAATGTAAGTACCAAAAGTTACCCCAAAGTATGCATCTGGACATTTTAAAACAGCCAAAAAACTGTCTACAGGACAACTTCAATTTTTGATTTTTCAATAAAATGGAGTTTTATATAGCTGACATACAAATAAGAGTTTTCCAAAAGAAAAAAAATGACCTTATTCTACAAAATAACCTAACATTCATTCACTCTTCAATTAACCAATAGCCCTTAAGCTGAGTCAAACTTCAGGGATAAAAATTAGTTATGAATACCACAAGATTTTTGCAATCAAGGATGCCACAAAAGTAATGAGGGTAAAGTATACACAAACAAATAATAATAACATGAATGTTATGTTATATATTCCAAACAAAGATTAAAAGAGTAAAAAGCAGTTAACTGTTTTCACATTTATAGAAAAAAAAAATTAGCCAAAAAAACTTACCATATAATGTTCAAATAATTACAAAATAAGAAATACTTACTTGGAAAATCCTTTCCATCTGGATAGTAATATTCTGTGAATTCTATATACACAGCTGACATTTCTTGTGGAAGATACAGAGATTTTTTATTGCAGGAAATCATACTTTTGGGGGAAGAACGACATTGTTCTGCTGTAGAGACCTGGAAAAAATAATTGTTGTTAAAATCACATTAAATAAAGTCATTTCCAAAGAATTTGAACTTGAACATCACTTTCATAGACTTTAAAAGCTAACACCAGTAATTTTTCAATAGGTAAATGCCAATGCAAAATGTATTATTTATTTAACTTCACATCAAATTATTTTTAAGTAATGCCAATTATTAAGAAAACTCTATAATCAATTACAAAATTGATAAGGATGCCCCTGAGTTCAATCCCCAGAACAAGGGGTGGGAGGGAATTCCTTGTAAAATTATTACTTTGAGCCTTAAGATAGGAGCTAGGAAAATAATAATGATGATATACAATTAGATAATATACGTAAATGGCAGAGTCAGGATGGAGATCCAAGACCTCAAGGTCAGAATGCTTCTGCACTATGTTCGTTCGTTCTTTCTTTTGGTACTGGTGATTGAACTCAGGGGCACTCAACCACTGAGCCACATCCCCAGTCCTGTTTTGTATTTTATTTAGAGACAGGGTCTCATTGAGTTGCTTAGTTGAGGCTGGCTTTGAATCCTCCTGCCTCAGCCTCCTAAGCCATGGGATTACAGATGTATCCTACCATGCCCAGACCAGTATGTTCTTTATAATAGTTTTTCACTATAAATTCTCCATTATTATGAAAAATAATAGAGCCATATAAAGAGTTTCAGTTTATGGTCATGAAAATATTCTGGAGTTGTACAACAATGTGAATTTATTTAATGATGATTCATTTTAAATTTAAAAATAGATATAATGGTAAATTTTGTTACTTTTTAAACAAAAGAATTAATTTAAAATAATACAACTATAAACAGTTCTGTCAAATAGTTTGATCTCTTAAATTATGTTCTTAAAGGACTATTATAGTTTGGGCTTCCAAGGCTTATGCATTAAAGACTTGGTCATCAGCTGGTGGTTTTCTCTATCTCTATCTGTATCTCTCAATGTGCTGGTTACATTTTTTTCATTCTCCCCAAAGAGCTAATTTTCAATTACATCAAAAAAATGCAGATGGGTGTGGTGGCATATGTCTTTAATATTAGCCTCAGGAAACTAAGGTAGGAAGGTTGCAAATTCAAGGCCTGCCATAAAATTAAAAAGTAAAATTATGGGCTGGGTGTAGCTCAGTGTTAGAGTAACCCCTGGGTTCAATCCTCAGAACCAGCAGGGGAAAATGTATATGTTAATTTCCCCAAAGTTCAATCAATAGAGTTTTACTGATATATTTATTTATTTATGTGGGCTTAGTTGGCACAGAAAGTGGTGCACCTTGTCATTCAACAAATGTGTATATTCCTTATATGAAGTGGAATACTTTTTCCATGGATAATGTTTCCGCTTGCAATAATCTTTTGTTTACATACTTCATGAATAATTCTATAATTCAAGACTTTCTCTACATAAATAGAAACAAATCCTTCTCAATTATGTGTCAACTTTTTTTTGGGGGGTTGGGTCAGGTGGTACCAGGGATTGAACACAGGGGTGATCTAACACTGAACTCATCCCCAGCCCTTTTTATTTTATTTTCAGACAGCATCTGGCTAAATTGCTCAGGCTGGCCTTGAACTGACAATCCTCTTATCTCAGCCTCTCAGGTCACTGAGATTATAGGTATGTGCTTGCTACTAGACCCAGCTCAACTTACTTTAATAAAGAATAGCTTATTCTTCTTTCCTCTAATGTTTAAAAGTTATTTACTTTCTACTACTAACTTGATTTGTTTTGGCTATGTTTGTGTTGGGGTTTCCTTCTCTTTTAATCATTTGAGATTATGGGTAGTTCCTCTCCCTCACTTTCCAATGGATTCACTTAAATCTTAAAATTTAAGTCTACTTTTAATAAACAGAATTATATAATAAGAATATTTTTAAAAAGCATAAATTGCAAAATGAGAAAATAACTGTTAATGAGGATTTCTCAAATGGCATTACTGACATACTGGAGCCAGATCAATTTTAGCACCACTGGTCTTCGACCACTAGATGTCAGCAGCATTCCTTTACAATTGTGACAATCAAAAGCACCTTCAAAAACTGCCGAAGTGACCTAGGGGACAAAAACTGGCTCAGATTGAGAACCAATGAGTTTACAAATGAAAACTTTTCAGACAAAGCAATAGGCTCATCAATATAAACCAGAATACAAATGATTGCACAAATATAAAATCTGTCAGGCTGTTTCTAAAAAATAGGAAACATATTCTACTTTGTTGTTTTCAAGGATTGTGATATTAGACCATATTGTGATTATAACCTGAATAAAACTTGTCAATATAAATGTGACAGGGTTATTAGCTATAAAATTCTTTTTAGGGTTGGGGTTGTAGCTCAGTGGTTGAGCACTTGTCTCGCATGCATGAGGCACCACATAAAAAAATAAATAAATATTTTTTTAAAAAAACTAAATAAAATAAAGGTATTTGTCCATCTACAACTAAAAATATTTTTTAGGGGCCAGGATTATGGCTCAGTAGTAAACTGCTAGCCTAGCACATGTGAGGCTCTGGGTTTGATTCTCAGCACCACATAAAAATGAAATAAAGGTTATTGTGTACACCTATAACTAAAACAAATATTTTCATACTATGGCCAATACTTAATAGTCCAATAAAGTGAAAAGGGCATTTTAATTTCTATCACAAAGACCACTGTGTATTAAGAAATTTGACCTCTAACTGGGGATGGTGGTACACACCTGTAATCCCAGCAATTTAGGAGGCTGAGGCAGGAGGACTGCAAATTCAAAGACAGCCTCAGCAACTTAGTGAGGCTCTAAGCAACTTAGTGAGACCCTGTCCCATAATAAAACATAAAAGGAACTCAGAAGTTGAACACCCCTGGGTTCAATCCCTAGTACCAAAAACAAAAAAGCAAAAAATAAAACAAGGAAATTAGACCTCCAAAGAGAGTCTGGCCTTTGTCCTTGCTCCTAAAATATAACAAGAAATATAATTTCCTATTCCCGGTGGGCAACTAACAGTTCATGCAAAGAAGATGACCACACTTGATAGCAATTACTTGTGTTTAGAGGAGAGGCGGCTATGGGTGATCTGCTATTAGTCCATTTTATGAGTGGGTTTGACTACATGGGCAATACTTCATGTATTTTATTACACAACTGTACTGGGAAGCTAATACATTCTTAGAACAAGCACGTTTCAAATTTAGAAGTCTTCCAGGCTGCCCTAAGCATCTTTTCCTATGGTTAGTTTTAATTTATATTCTTTCTATATGATAAGCATAATAGATCACAGTGAGGTTTTTTGAGTCTTTTTAATCAATTGTTGAACCTGAGAGTAGTTTCAGGAAATGCCCAAACTTGGTATCAAAGTCTTGAGCAGCACTGGCAGTTTCAAGTACTTAACTTCACAGTTTGGCTAATTATAGATAACTATTTAAATTAAAATTAATAAATTGATATTTTCTATACCATCTAATTTGGCCATTTCACAAAACTGGTCAAGATTTTTTTAAATATTTTTTTTTTTTAGTTGTTGATAGACCTTTATTTTATTTATATGTGGTGCTGAGAATCGAACCCAGTGCCTTACACTTGCCAGGCAAGTACACTCCCACTGAGCCATAGCCCCAGCCCCCAAGATGTTTTTAAATAAAATATTGGCATTAGTTATTAGAGTTCATTATGTGAATATTGTAAGTGTCTATGAAAAAACCTAAGTTAAAAAGTAAAACATACCTGGTATATATTGAAATCTGCAAGTCTTACCACAACAGAACTTGACATAAGTTTAGCTTTTGAGTGTTGAGATAATACCGATGATGTTCTAGAAGTCCCTTTCAGTGTGGACTCCTTCTCTATGAGAATCAAAAACTCCTTTTAAATTATTTAATAAATTATTTTTAATAGTATTCTTCTATTAGTAAGACTAGAAGCGTAAGTGAACAGTAATTTCTCAAACAAGAAAATATTTGTGGAAATACTTTACAAATCATGAAGTAACAAAGATATGTAAGTTTCTATGTTAACTATTCATTTTCAAACAGGAATCATATTTATATTACATTTAAGTCACTCTTCTACAATATTAAAAATGAAAGATCTACCAGTCATTTAAGTGTTTAAAAAATTCTATCTGGGTATTACTTTTATTTTTATATTATCCGTTTCTTATTCTTACAAGTGCTTTGGTTCACAAGCCTATGTTGGTTTCAATGAAGGATGAACAATTTTTAAATATTAATTAGAAATAATACTTATTTACAGAAAATATTATGTACACACTAATTTCCCCAAACACACACATACACACACAAACACACACACACAATTAGGGAGATGCTATAATGTTGTTATAGGTAAAATACCTGTTTGTGTGTGCTGGGGAGAGGCATGTGTTGGGGATTTAGGAGGTGAACCTACATTATGATCTTTCACAGCCTGTATAAGCATTTCAACGTTGCACTCAAATTCATGTAACAACTCATTGGCCCATCCATTTTTTGTTTTGGTTGCATCACTAAAATACATCCAATGATTACAACTATCTCCTGTAAAATGAAAAACAAATATTTCACAATGCATAATTTTCATTTATTCTACAACAGCCTCTTCCCAATGAAATTTAGTCATTTTCTCAAGGGAATCTTTATTCTCCATCCAAATTTACAGACTTTACCTGCTACTTCTCTAAAAAGAAAGATATTTAGAATAGAGGGAAAGAGTGTTAAAAGTAAATGATCTGGAGGGATTTCTATCTAGAACCCATTCTTAGTAGAAGAGCACTCAAAAAAGTTTCAATTCAAAGTCACGGGATTGGTCAATTTTCAGTAGATGCTCAATATTCTGGCAAATCTCCACTGAGCAGAATCCCAGAAAAATGCTATGAAAAATAATTTCAGCCAGGCACAGTGGCACATGCCTATAACCCCAGCAGCTCAGGAGGCTGAGGCAGGAGTATAACAATTCAAAGCCAGCCTCAGCAACTTAGAGAGGTCCTAAACAACTTAGTAAGACCCTGCCTCAAAATTTAAAAAAAGAAAAAATTTAAAAAGGGCTGATGATGTGGCTCAGTGGTTAAGTGCCCCTAGGTTCAATCCCTGGTACTAAAAAATAAATTAAATATAATTTTAAATATTTATTAAGTGACTAACAATAATCAGTAAAATCAATAAGCTAATGATTGTTTAGAAATTAACAGAATTTCATGTTAAAAAATGAATAGAATTTCTCACCATGGACATCAGTCATAACGATATATGTTTTTTGGAAGGAAATTACAAACCCAGGACTATTGGGTTGTGATACAGAAAGTAAGAAAATAATATGCACTTATAAAGAGTAAGAAAATCTACTCTGGCTAAAAGTTTTATCTTCCAAAATGTGAACAATTTCTACAGTTAAAAGACTTTAGGTGATGATAATAAGTAACTTACTTACTAGAATAGAATATAAGACAAAGCCCTTCAAAAGAATATCAAAACAAATAACAGAACCTTTAAATTCTGTCAGGAACTGATACAGAAATAATAAACATTGGTAGGTAGAAACATAAATATTAAATTTTACTGTATTTTTTAAATTCTGGAAAATTCATTATAAATTTTTTATTTATGTAAATTATAAAACCAAAAAAGCTACATTCTACCAAAAGACAGAAATAGGTGCTAAGTTATATTACTTAATCTGGCTATAAATTATAAATAACCATATTGGTTTTAGTTTTATATTATTTGAGAGAAAAGAACCTATCAACATTTGATTAAGAAGCCTATTAAATCTCATTTATTGATGAAATTTAGAAAATATAGAAAAGTAAAATCAAGTACCTAGAGTCCTACATATAACATAAATATAGTTTTTAAAAATTCAAGGGGTAGGCATGTAGCTCAGTTGTAAAGTGCTTGCCTTAGCATGCATGAGGTCTTGGACTATATCCCTAGCAAGGGGGAAAAAATTCAAAATATTGATTAGTTACTTGCTTTTGTTACAACTAATAAAGTAACACAAATACATATCTGCTGTATTCTGACAAACTGTCAATTTCTAACAATTATACTTTACAATAATCTATAGGAACTTCAATAGAAAATATATGAATATATTCTATGACAACTATTTTTTTTGGTAAAATACTGCTAGGAGAAAAATAGTAAAGGTCTCTTGATCTCTTTTCTCCTTAAGAAATTAAGACCCCCCCCAAAAAAAAAATATTTTTTAATTAATTAGCCATGTATATTTAAAGCAAGATTTACATATTTTAAAGAAATTATTATACACACCTGCTTTATGATATGGATAATAATCTATGGTTAGCTGGGTAAAAGAGAGTTGCATAGCACCTCCAGTAATACGTCTGTTAGACTCTGTGAGAATAAAAAGACAAAATTGAGAGAAAGAAATATTAATCAAATAAAGGAAAAAATTAACCATATAAAATCTATACCATAATTAGATTTCATGAAGTAAAATCCATTTCTCTTTTACCATGGCTAACACATTACAAATTTTAGAAAATGCAATCCAATCTACTAAGTGTTCACTGAATCCCTACTATTTGCTAAGCGCTGGCCTAAAAAGGATAAAAGAATAGTAACTAAACCTCCTAAGTGCTTATAGGTACTAGGAGCAGAACTCCCTAACCATATGCAAAGCACTGTTTTCAATAAGTATACCTAAAGAGGTATACTTATTCATTTCATTTTCATAACAACCCCATGAGAGAGATACCATTATTATGCCCATTTTCTAGATAAAGAAACTAAAGAACAAGGGGGATTATGAAGCCAGAATTAAAGACAGGCAGATAGGCAAGGGTGGGTCAAATCCAGAAAATGGAGGCCACTGTGAGTCCAGTTTGGGCCCAGTAAATTGGAAACCATCCCTTGTGGGATTTAAATGTTAATTCCTTCAGAGCCCTTCCTCCACCCTTATCAAGATAACCTGACCCTGTTCCAACCTATTGCTAAGGTAACTTGTCTCAGGAATTGTCCCTCCCAACAGGGAGTTAGAGTTATAAAAGTTATTAATTAATATGTCCTTCATTGCCTTCCCCCATCCATCTGTACCTTTTGGCCATCCCACAAGAGCATCTCCTGGGTCTATTCACATACACAGAAAGGAGGGAGATAATGGGGAAGAGGGCAGGAAAACAAAACAAATCTAGGATGTATAAAAGAGGCAGAATACTCTCAGTTCTTGGGACACCAGGATACCAGCTATGAGCCTCTTCTCCCTCCCAGGAGAAGTCTATATTACCTTTTTAAAATAAACCCTGCCAGGGGCGGTGGCACATGCCTATAATCCCAGCAACTCGCCTGTATTCCCAGTAGCTCAGGAGGCTGAGGCAGGAGGATGAAGAGTTCAGAGCTAGCCTCAGTAAACGCGCTGAGAAACTCAGTGAGACCCTGTCTGTGGCTCAGTGGTCAAGTGCCCCTGAATTCAATACCCAATACTCAAAAATAAAATAAAATAAACCCTGCTTTATATGCTTGCCTCAGTGTGCTTCTCTAATGTTATACTTCAACATGTGAGGAAGCAGGACTTTTAATCGGCTACATCAATAATAGGCCAAGATTACAAAACTAGTTAAGCAAAGAGCTGGGATTTGAACTCAGGAAATATTTTTTTTTTAATTTTTTTTTTTAAAGAGAGAGTGATAGAGGGAGAGAGAGAGAGAGAGAGAGAATTTTTAATATTTATTTTTTAGTTATCGGCGGACACAACATCTTTGTTGGTATGTGGTGCTGAGGATCGAACTCGGGCCGCACGCATGCCAGGCGAGCGCACTACCACTTGAGCCACATCCCCAGCCCAAACTCAGGAAATATTAATCATTTCATCACACCATTTTACCTATTACCAAAGAGAAAACTGAGTCAATCAGATTAGGTAAATTATCTAAAGTAACATAGCTAGAGTATGATCAAAAGTAGATCATAAATTGGTATAATTCCAAAATAAAAATTAAATTTGGATCCAGACATGGTGGTGCACATCTGTAATCCTAGCTACTTGAGGGCTGAGGCAGAAGGATCTCAAATTCCAGACCAGCCTGGGCAATTTGGGGAGATACTATCTCAAAATAAAAATAAGAAAAGGAGATACTATCTCAAAATAAAAATAAGAAAGCTGGAGCTACAGCTTGATGGTAGAAATCTTGCCTCAAACATTTGAGGCCCTGGGTTCAATACCCAGCACCAAAGGAAAAAAAGTCAAATTTTAAAACAGCATGGGTAAATCAACTAGTAGTAAAGAAAATACAAGCTAAAATATAGCTATTGTATATACTCTTTATGATCTGTTAACTCCAATCTATCTCAATTAGTAGAATTTTTAATGTAGATTCACAATCCCTCACCTAAAATCTATGGAACTAGAAGTTTCAGAATTCAGAAATTTTTAGATTTTATGAAATTAATATAGAATAAACAATGTGTATCATATAATACTCCCAGTAGTTTCTGAGGCAGTACTAAGCAATAACAAATAGTAATTCTACAGCATAACTTAATATTTCCACTACATGGGTAAAATTAAGATAAAAAAATAACATGTTGGTTAGGTCAGGTTTTGTCACATTTCAGAACCTTTTGAATAGCTAATAGCAGAAGTGACTACAGACTTGTACAGTTCAAGAGATATGTGGCAGTGGGGTTTTTCCCCTAAATAAAATCATTCAGCTATGAGGGAATAATAAAGAGTAAGGAATGTAAAAGTGTTTAGAAAATATTTTCTGAAAAAGAAAGAAAACCTTTTAAAAAAATTCTAGTTATGCATAAACACAATATCTTTATTTTGTTTACTTATTTTTACATGGTGCTGAGGATTGGACCCAGTGCAAGCATTCTGCCACTGAGCCACAGCTCCAGCCCAAGAAAGAAAATATTTTCTAAGAAAAAAATGCTTAGTACTTTACTTTGACTACCTCATTTTGTTACTTTGGTTTGCTTTAATTCTTCTAGATTTTCCTTTCAAATCACTAAAGCAGAAGATGACTACCTATAAGCCAAATGCTACAAAAGTAGAAAAGGAAAAGACAAGTCCCTCTGAAAATCTTACTTTAGCTTTGTCCCTCCATCCTTTTATCTGATAGCCAATTCCTGGCTGCCTTGTCCGATGAACAAAGAGTACTACTGTTAAGTATCCAAGGTTTTCACTTTCTTAGCTTTAAAACATCCAAAGCAATAGTTTTCTTGGATATAGATTCTGATTCAGATCTGAGGCACATGAGTCAAATATCTGTATTTTTAAAAGATCTTCAGCTTGATTCTAATGTCCACCAAAGTCTGAGAAACACTGTGCTTGAAGTAAGCCCACCTGCTGAACTCCCTGAACACTAGTGGACATCTGATAGTGAAACAGGAAGGTCCAGCATTTCACCATGAGTATAATTTGTTAAACAATCAGTTTTGTAGACAATTTTATAAAAGTCAAAACCATCTGAAATAAGTAGATTTTATTACCTTTTTCTTTCGAATGAATATCATCACATATGTGTAGATCTAGGTGAGAAATCACTAAATGATGGGAAGTTTCTTTAACATCAAAATCATTGAACAGTTTAACAATTGCATCATTTAGATCAGGCGCATTTGATGTCTGTGGTGTCTTTACTTGCTGGGTAGATGGGGTTATTGTAGAGCTCTTAAAAAAAAGATTCAAAACTACATCATCACCAAATAACATATGTGAACTTGCACAAATAATCAAACCTAAGTATTTTCAGTAATGAAGACATGAAAAATAACAATATATTTTCTTTTGAATCCTTAATTCAGTTTCCCTAAAATATTTTCTGAATTATATAAAACTAAAAATTTAAACACTGGAGAACTATACGCAATTTGAGTATGAACCCAATATTTAAGTAAATATTTGAATTATTATAGCTAGATATTTATGGCCCTCATTTTAGAAAATAGTAACTATTAAAAGAAGTGAATTTGGGCAGGGGATGTGGCTCAAGTGGTAGCGCGCTCGCCTGGCATGCGTGCGGCCCGGGTTTGATCCTCAGTACCACATACAAACAAAGATGTTGTGTCCGCCGAAAACTAAAAAATAAATACTAAAATTCATTCTCTCTCTCTCTCTCTCTCTCTCTCAAAAAAAAAAAAAAATTCCTTTGGCTCCTAGATGCCTCTAGGAAAATATTCAAATTCCTCAACATACATATTTAATAGAAAAATTTTCTATGCTACAGGCCAATGGTCCATTCATCAAATTTTTAAAATCAGGTTCACTTGGAGAATTCCTAAGTGAACCACTAGATATATATTATATATTTGGTATGGTGATATAAAGTTCAGCATCAATTCTATATCTACGTATATGTTCTTATATCTATAAACTCACATAAGTAGGTAAACTAGAATGAAAGGAATTTGGGGTGCTGGGTCTATAGCTCATTGGTAGAGTGCCCGTCTCGCATGTGTGAGGCACTGGGCTCGATACTCAGCACCACATAAAAATAAATAAAGATACTATGTCCAAGTACAACTAAAATATATTTGAAAAGAAAAAAGAAAAAAAAAGAAATAAATTTTGTTTTAGCATTGTGACTAGAGTATTTAAACAATTTTGAGGGGCTGGGGATGTGGCTCAAGCGGTAGCGCGCTCGCCTGGCATGCATGCGGCCTGGGTTCGATCCTCAGCACCACATACAAACAAAGATGTTGTGTCCGTCGAAAACTAAAAAAAATAAATATTAAAATTCTCTCTCTCTCTCTCTCTCTCTTAAAAAATAAATAAATAAACAATTTTGAGTTAGGTACCAAATGTGAGCTATCCCATAAAGTTATTTCTATAGTCTAATAGCTGAAAATTATTAGATCCTCCTACCAATTGCTCAAAACAAACAAAAAACACAAATCACTTTATTTGTTACACTGTCATTAGAATCATAAGCAGCATTTCAAAATGCCTATCTTTCTTGTTCCCAGAGGATTTTTTTTTCACCCTTCCTTCCTAGAATAATCCATCTTAGATGGAGGCTGAGTAGAAAGAATGCCTTTCCTTTATAAAGTAGGATGACAGCAATTATGGAAAGGGAGAATCAGTTTGACACGTAAAAATACGTATATTCGCAGCCAGGTCAAATATTTTTAAAAGTACATACTTACGTGGAAAGTATGAAACTCAATTTCCTTAAAACATAAAACTTGGAAAGTTGTTAATATATCCTCAGAGGCATGTATACCTCACTCCAAAAATACTGCTCTGGCAATAACAAACTCCTCATCTGATCAGAAAATCCCATGTTCTTTAATAATACCATACTTTTATAGATTCTACAGTCTCTTCTGAAATACCTTTCTTTACTGTTGCAATCTCATTAATCTCTTTGTAAAACTTTTCCAAAAATCAAACAGTTAATTAAAACTTTCTATATTCTTCTATGCCTTCCCTCCTTATTTCTGCACCTGGACATTTATGTTAAATTACAATATTTGTTTATATGTCATTCCCTCATTATATTTTGAGGTCTTTGAGAGCAGAGGCAGACACTATTTACTTTCACATTGCAATGTTTACCTCTCTGTACCTTATGACATACCAGGCAGGCAGCAAACAACACCAATTTGATAGTCAACGAAAGCCTAAATTATATGCTATTCTCTTATACCAAGCCAAATCAACAAAAGGTCACATAACTAAGATCTATCACTCTGTTTCCCAAAAGTAGTGTCATAGATGTATGATTTTATAATATTCTACATATTTTTACTAAGAGTAGATATAAAAATTCATTTGGGCTTTTAATAAAATTATCAAAGACACTACCCAATGGAGTTTTCCATGTCCCTTCCTTCTACAAAGATCTTCATGTATTAGCACAAATTTAATACGAGGAAAGTCTAGAAAACATTTTTCTCTTTACACAAACCAATAATACTTATAATTTTTAAGAAAATGATATTTAAATAAATCGTTGGGGATTTTGTTTTGGCATGGCAGTACTGGGAACTGGACTCAGGGACACTCTAACACTGAATTACATCTCCAGTCCTTTTTATTTTTTTATTTTGAAACAAGTGCTCTCTAAGTTATTGAGGCAGGCCTCAAACTTGCAATCCTCCTGCCTCAGCCTCCTAAGTAGCTGGGATTATAGGAGTGTGCTTATTTCCTAGTTTTTTGCTCCCAGCTGTTAGAAACCTCTAACAGAAGTTTATTTTCAACTTCAGCAATTCCCCATAGTTAGTTCTCTGTGGAATCAATTCTCCCATACCCTCTCTTGTTTATAATTATCTAAGTTTTATTCCATCATCTTCTGTTACTTTAGAAGTTTTAAAACTGTATTTTAATTTCCTGAAAAGTGATATACACCAAATACTTTTATGTCATCAATAACTCCAGTGCTCAATACAGAGCTCCAAACAAATAAGCATAATATACAGAATAGTAATATTTACTGTTATCATATAGATATGTATATAAAATTATTGTAAGATATCTGAATAAAGAAGATTCTTGGTCTCAATCTTATAATCCATTTCCTATAAAGAAAATAGCAACTAATCATTCTGATATTTTAAACTATTTATATGTAAAGTAAGTCTTTTCTTGTTAATTTATAGCATACCTGGGTAGGTTCAGGAGCCATACTCTTCCTTTGTTCTGTTGATTTTTCTATTGCTTCACTTAGAGATTTTGCATATTGTACCATAGCCTTCAACTGGGAATCCGTCAAAACCCATAATAAATCATCCAGTATTAGAACTAACTTTGTTGCTATGACATTACAGTCCTTTAACTGTCAGAAAAAAAAGATTTATAAAATTAAGCCAAGAATAAAACGTACAATACACTTACAGTTTTTTTAAAAAGCTAAGTTTTTTAATTGAATTAAATATAGATATGAATACTTCTTTCATTTAACAAATATTTACTGAGTTCCTATAATATAGAAGGAATATCTCCTAGGGCCAGAGCTAACAGTGGTAACAAAAGACTGACAAATTCCTGTACCTTAACAATACAAGTTCTATAGAACTTACATAAACACATTTATAATTAATAAATCACCCAATTACCTGTATTAAATCAACTAATTCTGGTAGAGAAAGGAGCATTAAGATAAATTTAAAACTAAAGTACTAGTTTATCCACATTTCACATTTCTGAATATATATGTTAAACACTATACATTGAGAAATGTTGTCAATTTAATATAATTATTTGTATCTCCTCACCCAAAACCTATATTGTTGAATCTGTAATTACTGAGCCATGATTAAAAAACGTCATCACTTCCCCATTAAATTTCACCAAAAACCATAGAGGATTCACAACTTTAATATCCTTAAGTAACTATCTTCCCCCATTTAAGTAAATTATCAGTTAAAATTAAAAAGTTTTGGCTACTAATAAGGGTTTTGTTGTGCATCTATTGCTGAGCAGGATTCAATAAAAACAAAAGTAAAATTACTTTCTTTTCTTTTTTTTATTGTGTGGTTGTTTTCTTTTATGTTTTCATTTTTGCAGAGCTAGGGATTGAACCCAGGTACTTGTATATATGCTTGGCAAGTACTTTACCCACCAAGGTAAACCTCCAGCCCAAGAAATGAAATTAAAAGGCAGCAAATGTTCAATAAACATGCAGCAACTAAGAAATTTATTCAATTTATCAAAAATAAAATCTTTAAAATTTAAATATTAAGTCTAAAATATGGAGAAATGTTATGATTACACTGACTTTCCACAAATACTGCTTGAGACATTATATCACCTTTTATTTTGCATTGACTTAATATGCTGTTTATAGTATGCCAATAATCTACCTAAGAAGTTATTTAAAATTTCCTGTCAATATTAATAGTTAACAAATGAACAAGGCCCCGGATTTGATCCTCAGCAACACACACACACACACACACACACACACACACACACACAGGTAATCTGGTTGACTTACTCTTCTTTTAAGAGTGACTCTGATTTTTGATTGGTTGGTTATTAATCGAACAGGTGCACACATAATTTCAAGATGTGAACTTTGAGTAGCATCTGCCTCTATTCGAATCATCTGCCAATTTATTTCTTTAAATGTCAAAACCTAAGGAGAACAAAGAGATTAGCTTCGCATATTCATGTAAAGAAAATGAGAAAAATGTAGATTTATAAAAATAAAATGTTATCTTCTCAACTAATTTTCATGACATTCTAGAAATATTTATCATGCTGTTTTTATTTTTTAATTGTACATGTCCATAAAATTCAGTAACACACCTTAACACTGTCAATACTTTTAATCTAAGAAACTTAACAGAATACAAAAAACTCTTGAATCATGTGACCAAAAAGCATTCCAATAATACATTTTAATTTTATAAATTTAAAATTCAATTAAGCAGCTGAAAAGTTAATATAGGACTTGTTAGTTCTTTTTTCTTCTATTATCTACTCTTTTAGGTATACATGACAGTAGAGTATATTTTAACATTAAAAGGTCTCATTAATCCTGTGAGGTGATTTATCATAGTCAAATATTAAAATATCCATAGTTTATAATTAAAGGATTAAGAATAACAGAAAAAGTAGAAATACTTAAAAAGGCAAAAAGAGAAAACCCTGATACCAGGCAAATACAGCAAACGAGCAAACATGAGATATATTTAAAATTTATCACTAAAACATTTTTATGAAAGAGAAAGAAATAAATTCACCTCTCCTCTCTGTGGATCTTGAATACGAGTAAATCTCAAATCTCCATGCTCCCAGTTTGCATTTACACTATAGATCCTTAGCTGAGAAAGTTCAAATGATGCATTGAAGGCCTTTGCTCCAATTCGGATGACAATAGAATTTACAGAAACAGTAATTCCCTCAACAACTTTTTCAGCAAAACCATACTCACTAGAAAAACAAAGCAAAAAAAAAAAAAAATACAATGCACTAAAGCCATACACAAAGTATTCTCATACAAGTACATATTTAAAATAACTTTTTTATGACAGATGAAATGTTTATCAATGAAAAAGTATGATTCTTTTCAATGACACCCAAAATTTAAGACATGATGAATTACCTGGTTTTCATAAATCATATTAACCCCAAATCAAATACTCAAAAACCAAGCTACACAAAAAGTACTGTTTTACAATTTTGCTGAAGTCATTCAGTACTTGATGGACTCAAATCGGAAAATTCTCCATTACAGTTGTCTCTCTTTTTTTTCACTTTAGCACCCACAGTCTTTCATAATGTCCAATGTTCCAAAAAGAAAAGGCATTTTTTTTGAGATGAGAAATATAAACACACTTGTCATTGATAGTGGTCATAAATCTGGAGTAAGACGTTCAATTCCTCAATAGTTATCATGTTTCTTTAAGTATATATTAATTGATAATAATATTTATGATTCATAGGCATCCAGTCTCCATGACTGGTGGTTGTCAAAGATTAATCCTTTCAATTCCTTGTCATAGAAGCTGAGTTGCTTCATAAAAGCTTATATATTGAGCACGAGAAAGTTCAATAGCATTATGATAGTAACTTACCCCCAAAAGTGTCATATCCTCAATATTACCTACTCTGCTTTGTCATTGCAAGTTTTTCAAGGGAAAAGATTTACACATGGTCATGACAGTTCCCTCTTGGGAAAAGGAATCACTGGGAAGTATCTTAGAGGCTACAGAGCACAAGACATGTTTAAATGTATTCTCTTGTTTCTTAAATTGTCCTTACAGTATTGGTTTTATTTTGCTCTTTGTTTTGTTTTGCAAATGAATATTTTATGAATGTCTCATGCCTTTTGGCGCATAGTCAATAATGTGTACATGGTAAGACTCACAGAGCAGTTATTTTTTTATTTTGTTAGACTGTGTCACTAGGGTGACGCAAATTCACAATTTTCTTTCTTCCTTTCTTTCTGTCCCTTTAGTCATTTCCTCCTGGTTTCCTTCCTCCCACAAGCCAATCTTCCTAGAAAGGAATATTCTAGACTTCTGAGGGCTGGGGATTACAACTCAGTGGTAGGATGCTTGTCTAGCATGCTTGAAGCCCTGGGTTCAATCCCACACATCACCAAAAATAAATGAATAAATGAATATAAAAAAGAAAGTTTAAGGGGCTGAGGATGTGGCTCTAGTGGTAGTGTGCTCGCCTGGCATGTAAGAGGCAGTGGGTTCAATCCTCAGCACCACAAACTTTATGTCCACCTAAAACTACAAAATAAATATTAAAAAATAAAAAAGAAAGTTTAAAAAAATGACTTACACTATTCTATCATTCATTTTTTGTTTAAAAAAACAAATTTGACTTGTTAAAATAATAATCTAGACTAGCTACAGTTAAGCTATAAAAATGTTCTCAAAATGTCAAAGATTTTAAAAATTGAAAGGTACTCGAAATTACTTTATTAATAATCAATATTCATACCTATTTAATCTCAAAAAGTTTTGGTCAATTAGCATCTATAAGTAAGAGCTAAATTCTTAACATGAAGGCTACTAAGTTTAACAGGAATATGATCAGAAAAAAAATTGTATTTTCTAGTTCAATTCAACAAATATTTATTTGTCCCATGTAAATGATCCTGAGACATAAAGAAAACCAAAATTCAGCTGTAGTATTACAGGGATCACAAGTTAATAGAGAGGAGAAAACATATATACTAGTTTCTGATAGTCTGCAATCAAGAGTTTTTAAAAAGTAATCATCAGAATACTTGTTGGGAGAGAGATTACTTACACAACTAGGGAGAAGAACCATTTTTCCATAGGAAGAAATGCAATAGAAGGGAAATCTTAGAATAGAGAAAAGCATGAGCAAAGACACAGAGAAGTAAGACAGTAAAGGTCAGATTTCAAGAACGTAATTAGTACAGCATAACTGCGACCCAGACTATGAATGCATTTTGGCAGAAGGGGTGATAGAAATTTGCCCAATTGGCAGCTTATTTCATCAATATGCCCATCATTTATAATTTTATATCTCTATCCAGATCTCTTACTATGACTTCAGTAAAATTCAAATTGTCCATCAAATCTCTCCACCTGGCTGTCTCACACACATTACAAATACAACATATCTAAAAGAGAGCCCATCATCCAAAACCCTCCCCATATCTGCTACTGCTCTACTTCTTGACTTGCTAACTTAATGAATAAGTAAATTACTTTTCAAGCCTCAGAGGACTTTTTTTTCCTTTTCCTTTTTATTTTTGAAACAGGTGTTTGCTATATTGCCCAACCTAGTCTCAAACATTCGGACACAGGTGATTCTCCTGTCTCAGTCTCCCAAGTAGCTAGGACTACAGGCATACACCACCATACCCAGTTAGATAACACATCTTAACACTTTTGGGGCTGGGGGTGTAGCTCAGCAGCAGAGCACTTGCCTAGCGTGCGTGAGGCACTGGGTTTAATCCTCAGCACCACATAAAAATAAATAAATAAAAATAAAGATGTGTGTCTATCTACAACTAAAACAAAAATTTAAATATAACTATCACAGAATTACTGATAATAGTAGTAGATTATCATTAACAAATATTGAGGCTCTGAGCCTCAATTTCTTCATCTGTAAAATAAAAACAATACCTGCTCAAAAAATTGCTATTACCTTAGGTGAAATGATACAAATATGGTAATTTACACACTCATTGGCTTGTCTGAGGTAATTCTGTTATAAAACAAAGTGGTCATCTACTGAGTTTAGAAAATTGAGAAATAAACAATGAGAACTCATCAGCATCTAAGAACTGCTTTTATCCTAAGGACAAATATTGGTTACTTAAGATAGAAATATTCTTAAGAGTTAGAAAAAAATATTTTTGTAATAATTATGTGGGAATACCCTTTTGGAATAATCCAACCTTACCTGTTCTATATATATTTTAATGCTGGTATTGAACCCAGGGTATTAAGGCATGTGTTCTGCAACCCAGCTATAATCCCAGTCTGAACTTTTTTTTTTTTATAGGTGTAGATGGACAAAACAATATGCCTTTATTTTTATGTGGTGCTGAGGATCGAACTCGGGTCCCGCCCATGCTAGAAGAGTGCTCTACAAAATGAGCCACAATCCCAGCTCTGAACTATAACATTTTTAAATGTACACAGAATTAGAACACATGGGGATAGTGGTATAACTCAGTGGAAGAGTACATGCCTAGCAAGCATGAACGCCTGGATTTAATCCCTAGCACCAAAAATAAGTAAATAAATAAGTTACAATCCATATTGTAGAATCCACTGTCAAAAGGACGAAGACTGAATAAATGACTAAAGTTTATTTTTTTAGTAGACACAGGGGATTGAACCCAGGGGCATTTATAGGAGCCAAATCCCCAGCCCTTTTTTTATTTTGAGATAAGGTCTCATTAAATTGTTTAGGTCCTCACTAAGTTGCTGAAGCTAGTCTTGAACTTTCTATCCTCCTGCCTGAACCTCCCAATTAACATAGTGTGCCACAGTGCTCAACTAAAGTCTATACTTTTTAGGTTATGCTAAAATTCAATAAAATTTGAAAGATAGAATTCTAGCTTACAAACAGGTCTCTTCACAGTTTGAATATTTCTCAACTTAAAAAGTTTACTAGACTTTGGGGGGGCCTGGGATGTGGCTCAGCAGTAGAGTGCTTGTCTATCACATGTGAGGCCCTGGGTTCGATCCTCAGCACCACATAAGAATAAATAAAAAAAATAAAGGTATTGTGTCCAACTACTTCTAAAAAATAAATATTTAAAAAATTATTTTAAAAAACTTACTAGACTTTGTATTAAACTTTGTAGAAATTACTCTGTGTAACATTTTCAGTCTACATAGGGAAGGGCCAGTCTGTTTCTCTTTTTTTAATCTCTTAGCTAGAAAAAAAAGGATCAATGTTGCCCTACATTACATGCCTACAGGGACTGTTGAAAATACATATTCAATATTTATATTTTTTGGTGATATGGGAGATGGAACACAAGGGTATTCTACCACTGAGTTATATCTCTGATCCTTTTTTTTTTTATTTTGACACAAGGTGTCACTAAGTTGCCCAGAATAGCCTTGAGCTTGCAATCCTTCTGCCTCAACATCTTGAATGGCTGAGACTACTGGCAGTGACACTGCACTGGGTTTTAAAAAACAAACAAACAAACATATTTTTGATACTCATTCCAGACCTAATGGATCAAAATTTCAAGAGAAGGAGCTTTAAAGACTCTGAAGACTTAATATGCACCCAACCAGTTGTTACAATCAGGCAAGTCTGGAAGACACCAAAATAGATTAACCATACTGCCAGACTTTGTATTAATGTCAAAATATAAGGATAGGGTTGGGGTTGTGGCTCAGTGGTAGTGCGCTTGCCTAGCATGAGTGAGGCACTGGGTTCGATTCTCAGCACCACATACAAATAAATAAAACAAAGGTCCATCAACAACTAATTAAAAAATATATATGTAAGGATAATTAACATATAATTAAAAAGCCAAAATAATAATTTATTGATATTATAAATCCATAAATTAGGAAGAACTACACTAAGTGCACAAGAACAAAATAATTCACTTCTGCCATGTTTAATTAAAATAAGTCTTTAATATAAATTTTCAATTTTCTTCTTTCAGTGACTAAATCATTTCTACTTTTTCTCCAATTCTGACAAGCCAATCTGAAGACCAATTACTCTATTAAATTTGAAATCATAATATAATCTTTAAAATCTCAAGTTGCTGGATGAAGCACAAATTAAAAACAAGTTAATGTGAAAGTTCTTTTCTCTGTCACCTGTAGTCCAAACATAAAACCATACATTTGATAAATACCGTATGGCCTTCGGTCAACTCTTAGCAGCAGAAGAATCATCATTAGATTCCCATATGAAAAAATATTGATCAGACTGTAGATATTCTCAAAGAATGCACTAATATAAAGGTGGTTCAACCTTTGTGAAATAGAAATGAGTGAGGGTGTCTACATGCACCACATTCATTTAAAGAATTTTATCAATAGCTTTACACAGTACTGAGAATACTAGATGTTCAGGGTTGCCATGTCACACAACTTCAGGAAGCAGATTACATTAAAATACATGTGGGCATTTCATGTGAATCCAAAAATAATGCAGAAATCCTGCCTGGAAATGATGTAAAGCACAAGTTCCAAATTTATTTTAATTTTTTATTTTCCAGTGTTGAGGATCAAATCCAGAGTCTTGTATATGCCAGAAAGCACTATACTACTGAGTTACATCCCCAGCCTGATCCAAGTGTTCAGTGGAAAAAAACAAACAAGTAATTTTTTGAAGAACAATTTTAATTTTTCAAAAAAGTTTTTTATAAATCAGTCCTCATACTCCCACCTCATTAGCACCTAACTTTCATCTTTCGAAATCCAACCTGTGGAAAGTGTGAACATTTTATATTTAATGAATTAAATATAAAAGGTCTGTAATTTATTAAGATACCACTAATCTTTTAAAGTTTCATTGATAAGAAATGATAATGCAGAGAAATTATAGTACCCCATTATCTGAAAGAAATATATTCCAGGACGCCCCCACAATGAATGCCTGAAATCATGAATTGTACTGAACCTATACACTATGTCTTTCCAATACATCCATACCTAAGATAAAGTTTCATTTCTAACTTAAGCAACAATATCTAATAACAAAATATCTAATAACAAAAAACAAAATATCTAATAACAAAATAACAAAATATCTCATAATAATAAAATATTTAATAACAGAAAAAATGTCTCTCAAAATGCCTTACTGTATTGTACTTACCTTTTTGTGATAATGTGAGATGATATAATGCATGAGATAAGATAAGGTGAATGACTTGGGCATTGTGACTTAACCTCTTAACCCGCATCTTTTTCTTTTCTTTTCTTTTTTTTTGATACTGGGGATTGAATACAGGGTTGCTTAACAACTCAGCTACATTTAAAAAAAATTTTCAGACAAGGACTCACTCAGTTGCTTAGGACCTCACTAAATTGTTAAGGCTACCCTCAAACTTACAATCCTCCTGCTTCATTTGAACACAGCACTGTGATACCTTGACCATGGATCTAATAACTCAAGACAGCTACCAAGTAACAAATGGGTGGACAGCAGGGATACATTGGACAAAAGGATAACTCACATTTCCATTGGAGGCATAAAGATTTCATGCTACTCATAATGGTGTAGAATTTAAAACTTATGAATTATTTGTTTCTGTAAATTTCCATTTAATATTTTCAGGCTATAGTTAACCATGGTATCTAAAGCCACAGAGAATTCCTGTATTCAGAAAATAAGAAATTATGTCATTTATAGAATGCCTAAGCTCTTCTGCTTCCATTTTCTGCTGATGTTCTGCCTTGGATAATCACTAGTACTTAATAGTAAGGAAATCAAGATGAGTCCAAAAAGCTAAAAATCAGCTGCTACTTTTGCAATGTATACAACTAAATCTGTAAGATATTTGATGGGAGAAGTGACTACAGTAGGGCTTTTGAGATTAAGAGATTTTATTTTATGTTCTGATACTACAGATAACAGAACCAACTAATGAAAAGAACTCACTTAGATAGTCACAGATATTAATGGAAATAGCTCACCTTTGTCCTGAAGCAGTTGCTATTGGTGATGGGCCATTAGGGGCTCTTGGTTCTTCACATGTACTCATTTCCATTATCACTTTATCTAGAGACTTAATAAGAATGTTAAAAATGTAAACAAAATATTAGATATTTTCTTTGTTTTATGAAAGTATTATTTATTTTCTCTTTCTTTGAGAGCAAATTAAACAGTAAATGAAGAAAGTCTTAAGTATCTCTAAAATTCTAAAAAACAAATATCAGAAAGGAAAAACAAAGTATTCAGTCCTATCTCAATTCATTTATCTGGTGGAAAAGTTGTGAATATTCTATGAGTACAGGAGAAAAACAATCAGAAGTAGCTGATGAAGACATCAGAATTTATGAACACATAAGCTCTAAACCCAGATGTATGTGCTAGAGTTGTGGCTCAGTGGTAGAGCACTTGCCTAGCAGGCATGAGGCAATGGGTTCGATCCCCAGCACCACATAAAAAAACTAAATAAACAAAATAAAGATATTGTGTTCATCTACAACTAAAAATATTTAAAACACAGGTATATTATTAGTTGATAAATTAATTACATAGTAATGATTAGAACTGAACCACCCATAAAGGGCTTATACCAATCTGAGACATAACTAATCAAAGTATGAAGTCAGTCAAAAATATGAAAAAATAAATAATCCCATATGAAAAAAGTTCTTTCCCAGAGTTTTTTTCTTCTACCCCCTTGAATAAAGAGCAAACATCGTTAGTAGTCATCATTAACCACTTTGGTCATTCTTCATTCTCTATTTTATATGCAACATTTATCATTATCTGAACTTAAATCTTATTTTATTGTGTACTGATTCAGTTGGTCTCCTCTATTAAAATATAAGTTCCCTCAGGGCACAAAACAGATGCTTAATAAATATTTATGATAACCAAAGCAATCCTTAGCAAAAAAAAGTGAAACAGGAGGCATCACAATACCAAACCCTAAATTATACTACAGAGCTATAAGAACAAAAATGCATGGTTTTGGCACCAAAACAGACATGTAGACCAATGGTACAGAATAGAAAACACAGAGACAAATCAATATAAATACAATTACCTCATGCTAAATAAAGGCATCATAAAAATACAATAGAGAAAAGATAGCCTCTTCAACAAATAGTTCTGGGAAAACTGGAAATCCATATGTAGCAAAATGAAATTAAACCCCTGTGTCTCTCACCCTGCACACTCACAGTGGATCAAAGACCTAGGCATTAGACTAGAAACCCTGAATCTAATTAAAGAAAACGCAGGCCCAAATCTACATCATGTCAACTTAGGAAGTGACTTTAAAAAAACTTTACTCTGAAAGCACAAGAAGTAAAATCAAGAATCAACAAATGGGATGGAATCAAACTAAATATCTTCTTCACAGCAAAGGAAGCAATCAAGAATGTGAAAAGAGGGCTGGGGATGTGGCTCAAGAGGTAGCACGCTCGCCTGGCATGCGTGCGACCCTGGTTCGATCCTCAGCACCACATACAAACAAAGATGTTGTGTCCGCCGAAAACTAAAAAAAAATATAAATAAATATTTTTTAAAAATTCTCTCTCTCTTTAAAAAAAAATAAAATAAAATATAAAAGTAACAATAAATATTAGTGAGGATGTTGAAAAAGGTACACTTATACATTGCAAAGTGGTGCAACCACTCTGGAAAACAGTATGAAGATTCCTCAGAAAACCTGAAATGGAACCACCATTTGACCTCCTTATCCCACTCCACAGTTGTATACCCAAAGGACTTAAAATGAGCATATTACAATGACACAGCCACATCAATGTTCACAGCAGTTCAATTCATAATAGCTAAGTTATGGAACCAACCTATGTGCCTTTCAACAGTTGAATAGATAAAGAAAATGTGGTGTCTAATCACAATGGAATGTTACTCAGCCATAAAGAAAAGAATGAAATGATGGCATTTGCCAGTAAATGAATGAAACTGGAGAGTATCATGCTAAGTGAAATAAGCCAATCCCAAAAAACCAAAAGCTGAATGTTCTCTCTGATATGCGGATGCTTACTAACAATGCAGGGGTGGTGGTGGTGGTGGTGGTGGGGTCACCATATTGAACAGGGGGGGAATGGGGTGAAGAGAAGATGGATGAGAATAGGAAAGACAGTAGAATGAATTGGATATCACTGTCCTATGTGCATATATGATTATACAACCAATGTAATTCTACATGATGTATAACCAGAAAAATGACAAGTTATACTACATATATGTATAATATGCCAAAATACATTCAACAGTCATGTATAACTAATAAGAACAAACAAAAATATTTATGGAACTGTGGGTATAACTAACTGGTAGTACAAGCTTAGCAGGCTCAAGATTCTGGATTCAATCTCTACCATTGGAAAAAAATTACAGAATGAATTAATATATGATAAAAAAATAAATTTTCTCCAAAAAACAAAGATATTAAAGAATGAATTACTTAATTTACTAGATCAGTAAAACTAAACACACATATAAAGATCTGGATTACATGTTATTAAAAGAATTTCACAGTATGTCAATAAAGAGTTAAATGATGCTATAAAATATACCAACTCATATGGAACCAGCCCAAATGTCCATTGATAGATGAACAGATAAAGAAAATGTGACATATATTCAAAATGGAGTTTGATTTAGCCATAAAGAAGAATGAAATTATGGGACTGGCTAGTAAATGAATGGAACTTGAGAATATTGTGCCAAGTGAAATAAACCAGACCCAGAAAGTCAAGAATCAAATAGTTTCTCTCATATATACTAGACCAAAATAAGTTTAAAAAAATTTAAAAAGTAGGAGTATGGGGAAATCACATGAAAATAGGACATCAGTGGAGTAGAGGAAAGGGATTAAGAAAGAAAGGAAAGATGGGAAAAGGGAGGAAGAGTCCAATGAAACTATCCAAACTATCCTATGTAAATCAAAGATGCTCTCTGTTCACAGTAGACTCTACATTCATATGTGAATACACCACAATGGATTTCACCTTTATATATATCTATAATGTATTTTTTAACTATAAATAAATAGAGATAAATTCCCAATAAAGTAGGGAAAAGAAAACAGGGGAGGGAGAAAAGAAGGGAAAGGATAGGTACTAGGAACTGAATTGGAGCAAATAATATTTCATGCTTATATAATTTAGTAAAAATGAACCCCAATATTATGTATAACCATAAAGCACTTAAAATTTTTTTAAATAAACCAATAATATTTTAGATCTGAAAAAATTTATGCTCTCCTTTTAAAATTCAAACTTCTCATATAAAGATTCAAAAAAGTCAAATCAAATAAAAGGAAAGCTAGTGGGTGGAAAATCCCACAAACCAAAATACTAACAGAGTAGATAACTGACATATATAAATGTTTATTTATAAAAATTATCAAAACTCACCAAAGAGATTGGATGTGTTTTCAGTTTTGTCCAGGGGATCTACAGAAAAAAAAATTTTCTTTAAAATGAAGTACAAAAAAAATAATGTAAAACAGTAACCAACACAGTTACTATTTTTATATACTGACAGACACCAAATTCTATTAGATGATTTTTTTCTTAAATTGAAAAATAATGAACTACCCAGCTTATTCATACTTTAAAAATCAGATGTACCTATAATACAACTAATTGTATTTTCTTAGTTGACTAAATAAAAATTTCAGTTCTTTTATGTTTTTCCCAGTCCTTAGAAACATATTTTAATTTCATGATTTAAATTAAGAGTTCCCAACAAAGCATAAACACTGCTGTTTATTTAACAGAATCCTGATCAATATTTTTATAGATATTCAAACAAATAAAAAAAGTTAAGGCCATTAATGTAAAATGCAGACAATACAAAAAAATTAAGGCTCAACTAAACGCTGCACTAAAAATGTCAAGTCTGTATAGGTATTTGGGTTTATGGAGGATGGAACCAAAATTAAAGATTACCAATAAAAGGATATAGGAAATTTCTTCAATCTTTTCTTAGAAACCCAAATTTTAATTTTGTGAAAAAAATTAGCATGCAGTGTATTTCAAGTAAGCAGACTCTCAAACTAAGACTGATCATTAAGAGCAAGAAATGATACAAATCAACAAAGATAATAACAACTTAAGAGTAAGTAGGGAATATGGTAAAAACAGTAAATAGAAACCTTTAAAATTTTCAAATTGAAGAAGAAACAAATGACAAACAGGCAAAATTCCAAATAAAAGCATAATATGTACAACAAGAAATAATAGTTCTCATGTTTTCAGTTTCAGTTAATATTGCTTGCTACAAATTTAAATAGTCTCATTTAGGGCTGGGGATATAGCGCAATGGTAGAAAGCTTGCTTAGCATGCATGAGGTCCCAAGTTTGATCCCTAGCACCACAAAATGAAAGAATAGAAAAAAAAAATTTCATTTGGTAATATTATGAAAAAAAAAACTGTCTTTGAATATGGGTCAAACTGAAGCAATCATTTTATTACTAACAAATTAAATGATTTTACTTAAAATATTTATAAAATCATATTTAAACAAAATTAAAATCTATGAATATTAATATTAATATGACTTTAATTATATTTTAAGTACATATCATAAATATTTCTTGCAAAGAGTTTTTCTTTTAATAAAGGACTTCTTTATATAATGATTTAAAACAAAATACTTATTTTAAAAGACAGAGATAATTTAAAAATGATAATATAATATGTCCTTCACAGATATTAAAGTCTTACCCTAATGGATGCTTTGTTACAAAAAACTTTGTTGATAGCAAGCCATGTGGGCAAATCCAACATATTCTGGAGCACTTCTTCATCCAACTCCAAATTCTTCAGTTCACCTTCTCCTTTAAGAGTACTTAGATTTATCTTGTCAGGAGATAAATTTTTGGTAAATCTGAAAGAGAATATATGTTACATTTATTTCAATGTCAATTACTGTATGCCAGCATCATTCTTGCAAATATACGGAGCATTAAAGAACCACAAAACCATAGAAACAGGCTCTGCTTAATCCGTGTTCAATGTGTTTTGTTGTTGTTTTGTTTTCTCATATTTGTAGCTCTTTTATACAAAGCCTACAGTTTGGGTGGCACCTATTTGAATGTCATATTCTCATAAACAATCAAGCTCTAATTCTTACTTTCCTTCAAATTTGTTCAGTATTTAGTGAGTAACTATCACTATTTTCCATGCACTATGCAAACAGTGAGGATGACATTTCACTACAGACTACATCACAAAAAGAGAGAGTCCTAGTCGGCTAACTAAGCTACAAAGAAGGTAAGGGAATGAGGGAAACTTTTAGCAGAAAAAGCAGTTGCAGCAGCCAGCAGCAACAGATATCATTCATTATCACAAGAATAATGGTCAAAGGACAACAGTACTCCTTTTAGAATTATCTGGTGATTCCTAGTATTAGAAACTGATCTTAATCATTTCAGAATAAATTCTGGAACATACAAATTGTTTTTAAAAGTCTCTGAAGAAGAAGATTATGCAACTCTATTTAGAAACCAATTTTGGTGTTTTCTGTGTGATACTTTAAAATATCAATTATTTAAATAATATAAATTATTTTAAATCTTGAATTAGCTGTACAAACATCAATTATCCTTTTTATAGGAGTTAAGATAACTAAACGATAAAATGCCTAAGGAAAAGTGGCAAATATCAAAGGAGGCCTTGATTTTTTTTTTTTTTTCCCCAATGCCAGTGCCAGAGATCAAACCCAGGGCCTCATGCAAAGTAGGCAAGCATCTCATCACTGAGCTATGTTCTAGCCCAGTAAAAATATTTTAGCTTAAAAAAAAAAGGGGGGGAAACAATAACAGTTAACATAACAATGAACATGTTCTAAGGGTTTACTGTGTGCCATGAGTTTATTCTCTGCATGCATGACTACTGCACTTAATTCCTATGCTAACTCCTTAGGGTCAATATTCTAATTTTTTTAAAAGAATGTTTTTTTAGTTGTAGATGGACACAATATCTTCATTTATTTATTTATTTTTATGTGGTGCTGAGGATTGAACCCAGGGCCTCATGCGTGCAAGGCAAGTGCTCTACCACTGAGCCACAACCTCAGCCCCAGTCAATATTAATTTTATCTCCACTTTTGAATGAACAAGCAAAATAAGAAACTTGAATCTACTTGCCTACTGTCACAACTATTTATAATAAACATCAAAGGTATTTTGAGATACTTTGATATACATTACTTAATCCCCAAAACAACCCTAAAAAAGTGAAAAATTGCTAACTTTACCCAGCAATTACTTTTGTGAAAGTAAAACCAATGACAAAATTAATTATTTTTTGAAGTTAAATATTAAAGCAACTACATGTCCTGAGTCATTTACAAGCTTTACATGTCAACAAGAATACCAATCAATACACACATGCTTTTCCACTGACAACAAACCAGAATTTCTTGAGGCAGAATCTATCTGGATTTGTATTTTCTCACAGAATGTGAACTGAGAAGTACAAAATTCATTTTTTAACCAATATTTGACCAATGATACAAGGTTGTATTATAATCCTAAATTGTATTTTACCTCCCATTAATCATTAATCATGTCTGACTCAATACTATTAAACTTTTTTCCATATTTTTACTGGTGAATTATGGTTGTACATATTGATGGGATTTGTTATTACATATTTGTACATACACATGATATAACAATATAATTTGGCCAATACCACTCTCCAGCATTCCCTCCCCCCTCATTCCCTTCCATTCCTTGGGGGTCCCTTTTCTTGATCTCCCCCTTGATTTTTTTTCTTATTTTTTAGTTGTCTATGGCTTTATTTATTTATATGTGGCATTGAGAATTGAACCCAGTGCTTCATACCACCGGGCCACAACCCCAGCACTCCCTTGATTTTTAGGAGATCCAAGCCCAACTTTGTTTTCCTTTTCCTCTCTAGCATCTGCATATGAGAGAAAATATAGAACCCTTAATCTCTGAGTTTGACTTATTTTGCTTAACATGATGGTCTCTAGTTTCATCCATTTTCCAGCAAATGACATAATTTCATTCTTCTTTAATGGCTGAATAAAACACAATCATGGTATATATACATACCATATTTTCTTTATCCATTCATCCATTGATGGACACCCAGGTTCCATAGTTTATTGTGAATTGTGTTGCTATAAACATGGGTACACGAGGCTAGGATGGTGGCTCACTGGTAGAGTGCTTGCCTAGCATGTGTGAGGCACTGGGTTCAATTCTCAGCACCGCACATAAGTAAATAAAATAAAAATTAAAAATGGGTATGCATATATAATAAGATACTTAATTCTTCAGGGTAAATATAAAGAAGTGGTATTTGGGTCATATGGTGGTTCCATGCCTACTCTTTTGAGGAGCCTCCATACTGATTTCCATAGCACTTGTACTAATGTATAATCCCACCAACAGAGTAAAAGTGTTCCTTTTTTCTCTACACGCTCTCCAGAATTTCTTGATGAATGCTAATCTAACTAATCTAATTTCAGTGTACTTTTCATTTACATTTCCCTAATTGTCAATGTTGAACATTTTTTTCATGCATTTGTTGCTGTTTGTATTTTTTTTTTTTTGAGATGTGTCTGTATAGTTCATTTGCTCATTACGTAACACAATAAAGACCTAGAGCATGCTTAGAACTCATAAGTGCTCCATAAAGAATGAGGGCTGTCTATGTAGAACACAATGTCCCCCATCTCCAAGTCCAAGAGTCCAAAGGCTGGGCATAAAGTCCTTATACATTAGTTTTCCTGGTTGTGTTTAGAAAGCTAAATCCAAGAAATGTCAGTTCTTTAAGTGCAGCTGCTAATAGGAAATCTCTTGAGTTGTCTCCATTTTAGAAATAGGAAGAGAAAAGAGAAAGGGAGAAACATTTCCACTTGAAGCAGTTTTGTCACTTTGGGTAACAAAATGTTTCACCTTATACCTTGAATACAAGTGCAAGTATTTCCAAGAAATAAACATTTTACTACTTTCTATCATTTGTACTACAATATCTTGCATGGTTCTAGAACACAGTAAATTCTCAATCTGTAACTTAGAAACTTAATTGTTTAATTTCAGATATACTTAGGTCTCCAAGTTCATAATCACCAACCCCCACAGTATACCCAGAAGTAAAAGAATTTTCCTATATGGGGACTTCTATGGATTTGCATACATATTTAGATATATTTCAACTCTAACCACTTCTTTTGTCAATCAGGCTAACGTGCTCTTTGATTCAAGAAGTCCCTTTAATTTTTCAAATATGCCTCTATTAGAAGCTATTCACCTTACTACATCCTTCTATCCTTCACTGGTAAGATCCAGTTTAGAATTTATATCCAAAAATCAGTCTTTATAATTAACTCCTTGAAGATGACCAAGAAGGGCACATGGACCAAAAATTTTCAAAGAACTAAAATAAAATTTAAAGAATTTAAATTTTAGTTAAAAACTATCCATAATTCACTTATTACTCAGAAAACTACAACTTTTTCTAATCTATCACTAGGAACATCCATATGATCTGTAAATATAGCCACAGAGAATTAAATTTAAAAAATATTTAATGCCTACATGGCAATATTAAAAAAGTTCTTGTTTGTTTTATATTTATATTGGCTCAGAATGTAACTCAGTGGTAGAGCACATGCCTAGAAAGCTTGAGGCCCTGGGTTTCATTCCCGGCACTAGAAACAAAAAATTTATTTCAGTGTTACAGTTAATTACCAACCTGTTTATCGGTACATTTCTTTTTTTTTTTTTTTAAGGGAAAGGGGGAGAGAGGGAGAGAGAGGGAGGGAGGGAGAGAGAGAGAGAGAGAGAGAGAGAGAGAGAGAGAATTTTAATATTTTATTTTTTAGTTATCGGCAGACACAACATCTTTGTTTGTATGGGGTGCTGAGGATCAAACCCGGACCGCATGCATGCCAGGCCAGCACGCTACCGCTTGAGCCACATCTCCAGCCCCTTGGTACATTTCTTTAAAAAAAAGGGGGGGGGGGAAGGAAAAAGGAGAAGGAACAAAGAATAGAAAAAATGAATCTCTAAAAATTAAATGTATTAATGACATTTGGGCTTTCTGACACTTAAATGTGCTTTATTTTGTCAGCTGCATTTGGCTTACTAAACTGTGAGCAGTGGTGCACACTTGTAGTCCCAGCTAATCAGGGAGCTGAAAAACAGGAGGAATATTTGAGCCTAGGAGTTACAGGCTCGCCTGGGCAACAAAGCAAGACCATATATCCCCCCCAACCCACCTCCACCAAAAAAAAAAAAAAAAAACTGACTAGGCTGCTTTATTGCTAGTATAAAAATACCTTTTCAGAAAGTTTTACATTAATTTGTAATTTTTTTGCACCAAATAAAAGTAGATAAATAGCCGGGCCTACTGGCATACAGCTGTAATACTGAGCCAGGAGGCTAGAAAGTTCCAGGTTAGCCTCACAAACTTAGTATCTACTTATCATTATAAAAGAAAATGAAAAATAAACCAGTAGACAATGAAGTTGGCTACCTAACAAAGGGTAGGAAAGAGATTTGTGAATCTAATAACAAATCTGAAGCTAATAGACAAATTAATAATGTAATATGACTGAGAAAGAAGGTAATGAAGAAATTAAAAAAAAGTATCAAAAAGATTCTTCTGTATCATTTTCCATTCTTTCACAACTACACCCAATCAAACTACACCCAATTAAACCCTTACGGTGAACTAGTATAATTGAAAACTGGCTAGTATCTCAAGATTCTGTGCCCCTAACAAGTATTAATTCTCATTACTTTTTAAGAGATATTATAAGAACCAATATCTTTAGGCTGGGATTGTGGCTCAGTGGTAGAACGTTCGCCTAACACATGCAAGGTCCTGGATTCGATCCTCAGCACC